GGGTTCAATTGACAACCGGAGAGTTTCACAGAGTGAAAATGATAATGAAGAGCCTCAGGGAAACTCAATTTTCTATCCGGGACTCACCACAGATAAGAAAGAGGAGCAGAGGTGTGCCATGAAAGAGAAATGAAAGTGGCTTGACGCGCGGGTCGCGACGAGCTGGAGGGGATCTTGCCCGTTTGGGAATGGCGTCCATCGTGACTCTATCTGCTCCATTCTGGGATAGTCAGTTGGCGATACATCTTCTGTCTGTAATGTAATCCAGAACAGCAATATTTCTCGTTTACAATACAAATTTATCCATCGACCGTTTTGAAAATTTCGAGATAGCCCTAGCCAGACATTGGGGAATACATCCAATACTATTGAACCCACCATCGATATCGATACCAACTACTAGTGGGGAAGCACATTTTCATCGGCACGCGCCGCGCTCATCTTCTCCAACAACGGCCGGATTCTCTCTCTCCTCTCTCCACCATCCCCATCCCTTCGTCAAGCCTCCACTCCTCAGGGTCGCCATGGGCTCAGAGTCTTCCCCACAACCATCGAATGAGATGCTCACCTTCAATGCTACGGCCTCCGTCCTGACTCCCCGACTGGGAAGACTGGCCTTTGCCGGCAGAAAACCCATCTCCACCCCCCACTACATCCCTCTGGCCTCCCGAGGCGTCGTTCCGCATATTGCCCATGATGTGCTGCGTGATCACACAGACATCGGCAGTCTATATGTCGGTCTCGAAGATTGTATGCCCTTCTCCTCTTGTTCGGAGGTCGAATCCGCGCTGACACGAATGCCCATCGGGGCCCAGATCAGTCGTAGAAAGACAAAGCCAAAAACACCCGCCTCCGGTCTTTACCATTCCCACCGCACACGATGAATCGGCCCTGCGCAAATTCGTCGCTCTCCCCGATGATCTCCTCTTGATCATGGGCGCACGTCGGGAGCCCCCGATCAAATGCCCTCCGGCCAATACCCCCAACTCCGTCGCCATCTACACCTCCGTTGGGTTCAGACAGCTCGAAGCTACCCAGTACGTCGATGCCGTACAGAAGCTCAACCCGGACATTGTCATCGGACTGGCAGATCTCGTGCTGGGACACACCCCTGGCAACAAGAGACGCGGCAAGATGGTGGATCGCACCCACGCCTTCACTACGCATGCCACAGGACTACTCTACGGCAACACTGTGCCAGAGAACACACGGTCAAAGTCAGCCTACTTCGCCCCTGTCCTGCCTCTAGAGAACGCCCAGCAGTCAATCTACATGGACGACCTTGAGACCGAGCTCCGTCCATACATCTCCGGCCTGGCCCTCTACGAATCGGCTTCCCTATCAGCCGTCTCCGAACCGCTCGGAGACCTCCCCCGCCTCCTCTACAGCGCACCGGCAACTCCACACGATATCCTCCGCGACGTTTCCCTCGGAGCAGATCTCCTCACCATCCCCTTCATGGGCGTCTGTTCTGACGCCGGCATCGCCCTGGACTTCACCTTCCCATCACCCAACACCCCCACGACCATCACCCAACCTCATGACCTCGCCTTCGACCTCTGGTCCCCATCCCACACAATCGACACCTCCGCACTCTCCAAATCCTGCGAATGCTACACCTGCCGCAACCACCACCGCGCCTATATCCACCACCTCCTGGCCGCCAAGGAAATGCTCGCCTGGACCCTCCTCCAAATCCACAACCACCACGTAATGGATACCTTCTTCGCCGCCATCCGCGAAAGCATCTCCCGGGGTACCTTCGAAGCCGACATCCAGACCTTCCAACGGACCTACGTCTCCGACTTACCCAAACCTACCGGCCAAGGTCCACGGTATGTTTACACACCATATCTATCCCTCAATTCCTCATAACCACACCCACAACAACTAACAATAGACTGATATATTATAGTCTCCGCGGCTACCAACTCCCCGCCTCCGGCCCAAACCAACCGCGCCGTAATGCCCGCGCATACGGTAAGCTCGACGACGCAGTGGAGAAGTTCGCCGAGTCGCAGTCTTCTCTCGCGACGCCGGATACAGGCGCCGAGGGACTCGAGGAACATGGATTCGGGATGAAGGAGGTGTCGTAGTGTGTTTTGTTTCATTCATAGATGTCTAGATGCATGGATGCATTTTACAGATAGATAGTTATGACATAGCATAGCGTGGATTCGTGGATGGATGATTATATAAAGAACACTTATATACACTACCGTTTCTCCACGACACCGGAATGTAATTTTTGATTGACAAGTATGAAATTGCAGATTCTATTTTTCATTTCGATTCATGATATGATGCAAATACATACATACCCCGTTCCTTCATCCCCTCTTCCATAATCGAATTAGATTTGTTAAAAAAAGAAGAAAGATTCAATTATCAAATGAACAGACCCCTCACCATTTGTATAGTAGTAATTGTGCTTTACTGTGGAAATCCAAACCCTTCCCCCACGCACCACCCAGACCAAGCCAGCGGCCAGAAGTAGTCCATAATTTAGGTTAATACATCCATCATATTCAAAAAATCACTGGGAATTCGCCAACTCGCGCCACATCCACTTCTTCTCATCTTCCTCTTCCTCTGAGCCAGCTTCTGTGCCGGCGCCGAACTCTTGACCCACGACACAGACAAGCCAGACATCGTTCTTGGTCTCGTCCAGGAAGCGCTCCGTCGCTGAGTTCTTGGGGTAGATGCGACGCCATTCATCCCAGATGCGATAGGCTTCGTCGCCCCAGGCGCGGAAACTGACTTCCTCGATGATGGTGGGGGTGACGATCTCCTTGCCGCGGAAGACACCCCAGGTGACGGCGTTGACGTTGGCCGGGTTGATGTCGATCGGGTCCGGGTCGTCGGGGTTGGGGCCGGGGAGGGAGGATTCGAAGTCGCCCTTGACGTTGGTGGCGAACCAGGCGAGCTTCTCGTGGCCGTGTTTCTGGAGGAGGGGCTTGAGGACAGTGAGGTAGTCTTTGCTGGGGCAGAAGAACTCCACGAAGGGCTTCTGGAAGACAAAGCCCTCTCCGGGTGGGCCCCAGCCGAAGACAGGGTCGTCGCTGCGGACGCCGTTAAGGGCGGGTTGCGAGGCCAGAGTCCACCAGCCCTTCTTGTCGATCAGAGTTAGAAGCTCGGGTTGGATCACGGCTGTCTCGGCGTTAAGGCCATTGCTATCCTCTTCGGCGCCTCCTTCGGACCAGGGGACCATGTGGAGCTCGCCGGAGACGTGGCGGCGGAATAGGGTGCTAATGTCTTCGCGGGTAACCGGGTAGCCCCAGATGCGCCGGGCAGTGGCAGCGGAGACGTGCAGCGAGGGACCGTAACCGTCGATCTCACCGAAAGCGGGCGAGCGTGCATCACCCCAACGCCCGTTGGGGAAGTCATCCCATGTGGCTTCTCTGCCGAGGGCACCGAGACCTTCGGAGATCTGGAGGGTTGTGCTGCGGTCCGGCGGCATGGCGGGAAGGCCGGCGCTCAAGGCGGAGGCCTCATGTGTTATGGAGTCTTTCGAAGAGGGTTCGGAGATCTGTACCTTGTCGACGATGACACGGTTGTGAGGGATGGAGCTGACGGAGGAGCGGCGGCTGGCCAGGGTGCGGATGGGAGTACCGTTCGGGGCAATGTACGACGACGAATCCATAGCAGACAAGTTACCTCCATCGACCAAGGCATCGGAGTCATCGATCTCTGTGTAGGGGGGAATGAGTTCGCAGCGCTCGAGAATGAAAGACACCGTCTTCTCCAGGTTCAGAGTGTAGAAGTGGAATCCGCGGAGACCAGGAGAGACCAGATCGCGGATGCCATGCACAAGATCAGTGATGATGTCGACACCAATGCGCTTCACAGCATCGTCATCATGCTTCACCTCCTCCAGCTTGGACAGGACTTGCGGGGGGATCTTGACATGACTGAGCTTTGTGACTCTCGTCAGAATCTTGTAACTGTGGATGGGCATCAGACCGGGGACGATGGGGATGGTCTTGAAGACGCCAGATTCATGGTTTCGTAGCATCGTCTCAAACTTGGTATATGCCTCCAGATCGTAGGTCAACTGAGTCATGATGAAGTCCGCACCGGCCTGCGTCTTCTCGATCAAGTAGGGCAGGTCCCTGGCCGGATCCTGAACATCCTGGAAGTTATCGGCGGGGTGACCCTCAGGGTACGCCGCCACACCAATGCAGAAATAGTCGCCATACTGCTTGCGAATGTAGCGCACCAAGTCGACGGCAAATGTAAAGTCCTTGTTGCTGTCATCCTCGCCGTGCATGTTGTATTCTTCGCTCCGGGGCGGGTCACCGCGCAAGGCCAGGATGTTTCTGATCCCAAGCACCTTGGCTTCCTCTAGGGCTTCGTCGACCAAGGCGCGACTCATATTCGTACAGGTGAGGTGTAGACATGTCGTCAGCTGCAGTTGGCGCTGACAGATCTCCGCCAGCTCCAGCGATCTCGCGGCGGTGCTTCCTCCAGCGCCCCAAGTGACCGTCACGAACAACGGGCGCAAAGCCTGGGCCATACGCTCCAACCGGGCTTGTAGATTGGCGAAACCCTAGATAGACGGCAAGCATCTTGTTAGCGACCGATATATAATCGTAGGTTTGAGTCACTCCAGTGCGGGGAGTTGTAAGAGGGTTGCCCCACCATCTTTGTCTTGGGAGGGAAGAACTCCAAAGAAAAGTAATTGGCGTCTGGCGGCAAAGCCGCGATCTTGTCCGTGATCTTCTCCATGATGAGCGCAGTCTCAGCAGCCGAAACAGCGACACGATGGCGGACGGAGGAGAGGGAGTGGAAGGCGAGGAAAGAAGAAGGCGTGAAGGACGGAGGTGGGGAAGAACAAGACTTCCTCCCACCGATGGAGCCTCCGGAAAAGGCACCATGACGAACTGCCGACCCCATCGCTGCCAGCATCATTCTGGTCATGAACTGGGCCCAATTCATATCATCCCGGCCGATCGGTGGAACGTCCTGCTACTCGAGGCCTGGACAACCATGTCGCCGATCGGAGAGTGAATATTTGGTGCTCAGTATGGCCCGGTTCCTCTCTCCATTTGCACTGTATCGTTTGCGTCTCAAATGCTCGGGTAGTTCTTGTCCATGACTTTGAAGAGATTCTTCTTCCCTGACATTATCCCATCGGCCTACTCGATGACTTCCCAGGCTTGTAAGAAAGAGAGGACCCCCCAGGGACTGGGTAATTGCAGGTCCTGGACGAACAATTGCATGTAAATCCTGGTCATAAATTCGGTCAACAGTCCCCCCTTGTTCTGCGTATAGTTTATTATCTCTCCTCTTTGCAAACACAGCAAACATCAACTCATCATTATCTCCGATGGCCTCGCGATATCGGCTTCAACAACCACCTGTTGATTGGATTACAATTGCGAAATACAATACCAAAATCTCCCTGACTTTCTCCGTGGTACCTGACCGGGAATCGCTTCCACCCCCTGCATAGGGCCGACAGCTTCACTTTCCCCCCACCCAACCCTATCCAGCCAACATGCCACCACCGCGCTCTATCCTCCAAACTTATCGTCTCATCTCACAGCGCAAACCCTCCGCCCACCGTCTCTTCTCAACTCCTCCTCCTCCTCCTTCCCCACCCCCTTCCGCAAAAGATGTCCGGTCGCGTCTACACAGATTAAATGATCGTCTTCCAGCCTCGGTCCGTCCCTACACCACGCCTCTTCTCCGAGCTCCCGCAACGCACATTACATCCTTCCTCATCCTGCACGAGATCACCGCCGTGATCAGTCTATTTGGATTGGTGGCTGCCTTTCATTATAACAATGGATTGCTCCCGGATATGTCCTCCAATCAATTGTTCGAGGAGCAGACGCAGAAGTTCGGACGTTGGCTGCGGAAGAAAGGCTGGGTGGAGGAGGTGGATGTGGATACTGTAGCTGAGGAGTATGGAGGGGACAGTGCACACCACCATGGCGAGGCGGAACGGTCAGCGTTGTCAGTCCAAGGCGAACGGGAGGGAGTGAGGTTGATCTTGGAGTTCGCAACAGCTTATCTCATTACCAAGGCTCTAATGCCGGTCCGCATCGTGGTGAGTGTTTGGGCTACCCCGTGGTTTTCTAGAGCCGTGCTTTCGCCATTGGGGAGGGGTGCTAGAGGGCTGTTTGGGAGGAAATAATGGTCGAGTCAGGCACCGTGTATGTATGATATAGTGCTAGACGGGTTCAAGCTTTGTACGGAGTACTACTAGCGTGGCATATAGATCATGAATATATTTTATATTTGTATTTCTAGTTCTCATGAGATCTTGGAGTTTTATATCACCCGAGGTACTCTACATCTCAACTCGTAGCGGGATGCAGGCGCTCAGGCGTAGGACTGGCCGGAATAATTTAGGCCTTCTCGTAGATCCAGTCGAACTGGGAGTGCTTCCACTGCTGGAGCTCGCTGGGGGAGAACCAGAGGGAGATCTCCTTCTGGGCGTTCTCGACGGAGTCGGAACCGTGGCAGACGTTGCGGCCGACGTCCTATTCAACTGTCAGTGAGATGTCTCGATCATGAGTGGATCAGAGTCCTTACGATGGCGTAGTCACCACGGATGGTGCCGGGGGCGGAGGCAAGGGGGTTGGTGGCACCGAGGATGGTGCGGCCGGTCTTGACGGCGTCACGGCCCTCCCAGACCATGGCGCAGATGGGGCCAGAGAGCATGTCTAGAAGCAAGATCAGTATGCTGGCATGCGTCAATGTTCAACATGTGTAGGTTACATACAGGAGACGAGACCGGGGAAGAAGGGCTTCTCCTTGAGGTCAGCGTAGTGCTTCTCGAGGTGCTCACGGCCGGGAGAGCAGAGCTTCAGAGCAACGAGCTTGAAGCTGGAACAGTGTTAGTATCTATGCTTTTGCAATGCCATTCACCAGGTAATACGAACCCACGGTTCTCGAAGCGAGAGATGATGGGGCCAACGAGTCCGCGCTGGTAGTAGGGTCAGTACTGGTTTATTCCGGAGATGCCGCAGATGCATCGAAAAGCGATGATTCGAGGCGTGAATCAGTCATACCTGGACACCGTCGGGCTTGATGGCAATGAAGCTAGATCAATTGGTTAGTGTCATGATTGCAATGAGGGGTTGATGAGAATCTAGGGAGCAAGATCCCTAAAGACCCCCCGAAAGAAAGAGAGAGACAGAGAAGAGAGCAATGGAGGGGAAGAGGGGTAAAAGGAGGAAAGTAATAGAAAGTGTAATTAACTTACGTCTGCTCGGAAGACATTTTGATGGATGTGAGAGTATAACAATGAAGTCACTGAGATACGATTGAGGGAACAAGAAGAAGAAAGAGAAGAAGCAGAGCCGGTGGTGAGTTGGCGAAAAATATAGGGAGGGACCGCAAAAGCCAGTGTGGGGCAGCCAGAAGGAGGGGCAATACTCACTCTCAGAGACAACTTACGGGCTGGTTGACTGATTCCCGTTGGTGCCTGCATGCCTGCATGCCTAACTGCCTGATCGATGACTTGAAAAGTACCTCCTGCCTGAGGCCAGAACAAGTCTAATCTCCAGCCGCCAAAATAAGACTAGCGCCCACACTAAGCCTAACTGGGAGCTTCCCCCCATCTCAGCTCCATCTGGCCAGCCTGGAACTATCGAGTGCCCTTGTTGTACTACTTGCATTATATCATCGTATCTAGTTGCACTTTTCTTCTTCTATCCCAGCACATAACGGCTTTGTGTGTGGGACCTTCACCTCTGGTAGATGCAGGTCGACACACTAGTGGTTGCTGATAGTTCTTCTTTCAGAGGTTGAGTGTCTCTGATTGACTACTGAGCTCTCCCATCATGGCCGGAACTCGGCCAATGTCCAACCGTTGGACCCTACTGCTGTCCTTGGTGATCCTACTCGGATGCCTTGTCATCCCCGGAGGTAAGCCTGTCCAATCATACACCCATCGGTTAGACTCGCCTTGACATCTAACAACGCCGCATAGTCACCGTGAAACACGAGAACTTCAAGACATGTTCTCAATCGGGCTTCTGTAAGCGGAACAGAGCATTCGCCGACGATGCTTCCGCCCAAGGTCCCTCCTGGACTTCCCCCTACGAGCTCGACTCATCCTCTATTCAATTCAAAGATGGCCAATTGCACGGAACCATTCTCAAATCCGTCTCCGCCAACGAGAAAGTTAAGCTGCCTCTTGTTGTCTCCTTCCTCGAGTCCGGCGCCGCCCGAGTTGTTGTCGATGAGGAGAAGCGATTGAACGGCGACATCCAGCTTCGACACGATAGCAAAGCACGCAAGGAACGTTACAATGAGGCAGAGAAGTGGGTGTTGGTCGGTGGCTTGGAGTTGAGCAAAACCGCGACCTTGAAACCTGAAACCGAGACTGGCTTCACCAGAGTCTTGTACGGTCCGGATAACCAGTTCGAGGCTGTCATCCGCCACGCCCCTTTTAGCGCCGACTTCAAGAGGGACGGCCAGACCCACGTTCAATTGAACAACAAAGGCTACCTGAACATGGAGCATTGGCGCCCGAAGGTAGAGGTCGAAGGTGAGGGCGAGCAGCAAACCCAGGAAGATGAAAGCACTTGGTGGGACGAGAGCTTTGGTGGCAACACCGACACCAAGCCCAGAGGCCCCGAGAGTGTGGGATTGGACATCACCTTCCCCGGCTACAAGCATGTTTTCGGTATTCCTGAACATGCTGACTCTCTCTCCTTGAAGGAAACTCGGTAAGCTACTCGCGCAGTGACAATTTCGAGCTCGCAAAACTAACAGCGTCCCAGAGGTGGTGAAGGGAATCACGAAGAGCCCTACCGCATGTACAATGCGGATGTGTTCGAGTACGAGCTGAACAGTCCCATGACCTTGTATGGTGCGATCCCGTTCATGCAGGCGCATCGCAAGGACTCCACCGTCGGTGTCTTCTGGTTGAATGCTGCAGAGACCTGGGTGGATATTGTCAAGTCTACCTCATCTCCCAACCCTCTTGCTCTCGGCGTAGGCGCCACCACTGATACCCAAAGTCATTGGTTTTCGGAGTCCGGTCAGCTCGACGTGTTCGTCTTCCTTGGTCCTACCCCACAGGAAATCAGCAAGACTTACGGTGAACTCACCGGCTATACTCAGCTGCCTCAACAATTTGCCATTGCCTATCACCAGTGCCGCTGGAACTACATCACTGATGAGGATGTTAAGGAGGTCGATCGCAACTTTGACAAGTACCAGATCCCCTACGATGTCATCTGGCTGGACATCGAGTATACCGATGACAGAAAGTATTTCACCTGGGATCCTCTGACTTTCCCTGATCCGATCAGCATGGAGGAGCAGCTTGACGAGTCGGAGCGCAAACTCGTCGTTATCATTGACCCGCACATCAAGAACCAGGACAAGTACAGCATCTCCCAAGAAATGACGAGCAAGGACTTGGCCACTAAGAACAAGGACGGTGAGATCTACGACGGTTGGTGTTGGCCCGGCTCTTCTCACTGGATCGATACCTTCAACCCCGCCGCGATCAAATGGTGGATTAGCCTCTTCAAATTTGACAAGTTCAAGGGCACGCTGTCCAATGTCTTCATTTGGAACGACATGAACGAGCCCTCGGTGTTCAACGGTCCTGAAACCACGATGCCCAAGGATAACCTTCATCATGGCAACTGGGAGCACCGTGACATCCACAACGTCCATGGAATCACCCTTGTCAACGCCACCTACGATGCTCTTCTGGAGCGCAAGAAGGGCGAGGTCCGTCGGCCTTTCATCCTGACGCGGTCGTATTATGCGGGCGCTCAACGGATGTCTGCTATGTGGACGGGTGATAACCAGGCTACTTGGGAACATTTGGCCGCTTCCATTCCTATGGTCCTGAACAACGGTATTGCAGGCTTCCCCTTTGCCGGTGCTGATGTGGGTGGTTTCTTCCACAACCCTAGCAAGGAGCTTTTGACCAGATGGTACCAAGCTGGTATTTGGTACCCCTTCTTCCGTGCCCACGCGCATATCGATACGCGCCGGAGAGAGCCATATCTGATTGCCGAGCCACACCGGTCTATCATCTCTCAGGCCATCCGCCTGAGGTATCAGCTTCTCCCCGCCTGGTACACCGCTTTCCACGAAGCTTCCGTGAACGGAATGCCGATCGTGCGGCCGCAGTACTATGCTCACCCTTGGGATGAGGCTGGCTTTGCCATCGATGACCAGCTTTATCTCGGCTCCACCGGTCTTCTTGCTAAGCCCGTTGTCTCGGAGGAGGCCACCACGGCAGACATCTACCTTGCTGACGACGAAAAATACTATGACTACTTTGACTACACTGTATATCAGGGAGCCGGAAAGAGGCATACGGTGCCAGCTCCCATGGAGACAGTGCCGTTGCTGATGCAGGGTGGCCATGTTATCCCCCGCAAGGACCGTCCTCGCCGCAGCAGCGCCTTGATGAGATGGGACCCGTATACTCTTGTTGTGGTCTTGGATAAGAACGGCCAAGCCGATGGCTCTCTTTACGTGGATGACGGAGAGACGTTCGACTACGAGCGTGGAGCCTACATCCATCGTCGGTTCCGCTTCCAGGAGTCTGCTCTGGTCTCGGAGGATGTTGGCACCAAGGGTCCCAAGACGGCCGAGTACCTGAAGACCATGGCCAACGTTCGTGTTGAACGAGTGGTGGTGGTTGATCCTCCCAAGGAATGGCAGGGTAAGACCAGCGTGACTGTCATTGAGGATGGAGCTTCAGCGGCTTCGACGGCCCCTATGCAGTACCACAGCCAGTCTAATGGCAAGGCTGCATATGCGGTGGTGAAGAACCCCAATGTCGGCATTGGCAAGACATGGCGGATTGAGTTTTAGACTAGACGGAGATGTGGAAAGAGGAGCCATACATATATGCAATAGGTTCATATATCAGGCATCAATGGCATTTATTCATGACGCTTACAAATGCCCTTACATTCTAGTTGAGTGGTTTTTGTAGTAGTCCATAGACTAGCAGTGTAGTGAAAATGAGACTTCAACCCCAAAGAGGAAAAAGGAAAGGCGCCTCCCGGAGTGGGGCTGAGTCAGCGCCAGGGACGTGGCCGCCGATCAATAAATTTAATTGATGGATTCCCAAATCTGGCGGGAAAAAAAAGAGGCCGCATTCGGGTCGCTTTTGGCATTGAACTTTCTTCAGGACTTGTCGGCACAGAGTTCCTGGGCTTTCGGCATCATACCTCCCCTCTTCTACTAATCTACCCTTGTGGAGGTCTCTCGTCCTTGCCAACAGCTTGCGTTCTCATTCCGAACTCAGCATCTCCACAAGCTTTGCCCCTGACGCCGCTGCTGCTCCGTCGCAGTCTCCGGAAACCGCAAGCTCCGCCCGTTCACTGCCCCGTCGTCGACACAAAACCGACCGAGCAATCGCTCCTCAACCACCGTAACATCTTTCTATTCCCGTTATACGTTTGTTACGAGGAACGCGACGGGTAATTGAGTTCACGATGTATCTTGTGTCACAAGCCCTGGAATATGGGGCTCCCCTCTTGTACGTCTTTCGCGCTGATGGATGCATCGTAATGGAACACTAACTGGCCGCGCGAATTCAACAGCCTCATTACCTCCCCAGTGACTTCCTATGCGGACCAGATTCTCAGTATTCACCGGTCTAGGAGCTCGGCTGGCTTTTCGCTGGACATTCCTTTGATTATGCTTGTCGCGTCCGTCCTGAAGTAAGGCTCCCATATAGGGATTGATGTCCTTCGAGAGTCTCGGCATTAACAACTTTTGCTAGGATCTTCTACTGGTTCGGCGCTCTCTACTCTTTTTCGCTTCTGATCCAGGCCGTTATCACGGTCGGGGTGCAGGTAGTCTTGTTGAAGGTTGCATTGGACAATCGGCCATCGCCCGGGGTGAAGAACAGCGTTGAACATGTTCCGTTCAGCAGTGTGGACAATGGTGGATTTGCGAGACCCTACGATTTTTGGCAGTGGAAGAGCGCGAAACCGTACGTCTATTCTTTTCTCTCCTTCCAAGGAGACCATTCTATTGCGGTGAAAACTAACCAGAGTCGTCGATAGTTACTGGATGTTCTTGGCATATTTCGTCGGCGCGCTCACCTTCATCCAGATCCTCCTGCCTCCGCTTGCCAACTCGGAATCCTACATCGGTCTTCTCGGATACGTCGGACTCGCCGTAGAAGCCACGCTGCCTCTTCCCCAGATTTTCAAGAACCACAAGTCCCGTTCATGCGCAGGATTCCGGCTCTCGGTGCTCGCAGCTTGGATCATCGGTGATATCATGAAGCTGAGTTACTTCTTCTGCAGCCAGGAGGTGATCCCCTGGGCCTTCCGGATGTGTGGTCTCTTCCAGTGTGTTTGCGACCTGTACTTGGGCGTGCAGTTTTGGATGTACAGTGGTGCCTCGTTCCGGACTGCGGGCAGTCCTCGGGGACCTAGTGAGAGCTTTAATGTGGAGGAGAAGGACATCCGAATGACTTGAACGCGATTAGATACGACCGTGGGGTTTCCGTTGCTTTCCGTTGGCGTTGTACATAAAGCATACTAGCTATTAGACACTTCGGACCTTGAGTTTGGTTCGGCGTCCGAGGTCATCCGACCTGTTATCAACTGAATTAGGCATAATGTGATGTGATTAGACACTCAATGAAGCTTCTGCTGCCAATCATTATCAGTAACACGTCCATTTAATGCGGTCTTTCGCATGCTTGATCATCAATCAATTGGTGGGCAGTAAAATGACGTGAGGAGACTTTTATTGCCGCGGGGTAACTTCAAGGGACCCGGAGGAACCCCACCAGCAACTACTCGTTAGTTCAAGTCCATCTCCGCCTGTTCAGCAGAATGATCCTCCCTAGTATCTTCCAACCGACTACCTTGTGTCCGTTGCTCCATCCAGATTCACCATGGCTTCAGATCTAGAGACCATCCGCATTGGCTATGTGCCTGGTACAGTCCAACTTCCTTCTCTCAACCTTACACTGCTGTATATAATCACCTCAGTTGTGCAACATGGACAGCTTCCGCTTCTCCGAGCTTCTATCAAATGACTGGCAGCTAACAATGACATTTTCCTTTCTAGAACACTACCTTACGCCTCTCCACCTGGCGCTGCGCTCCCCAGCCCTGGCTGCTCTCCCATTCAAACTCTCTCTGATTCCCTTCCCCTCTGGAACGGGACACATGATCACATCTCTGCGTGAGAAAGAAATCGATGTCGCCATTGGGTTGACCGAGGGTTGGGTAGCTGGCCTGGCTGGTAAGCAGCAAGCCCAGAAGGACCCCTCGGAGGGCGGCTACAAGGTGATCGGACACTGGGTCGATACGCCTTTGCGCTGGGCCATCGTCACAGGTCGGGAGAGAGAAGATATCCACACGGTGGCTGATCTCAAGGACAAGCGCGTTGGTGTCAGTCGTCTCGGAAGGTAAGGCCAACCCGCAGAATAAATTGGCATGCATCATACTGACGCGAAGCAGTGGCTCCCACATTATGTCTTTCGTCCTCGCTCAGAAGCAAGGCTGGAAGCCTGACTCACTGTCCACTGTGCCCTTGGGCCCCTTCGCTGCTCTCCGCAATGGAGTGACCGGATACGATTCGGAGCATCCCGAGCAGGAGCCGAAGCCCACGGCCGAGTTCTTCATGTGGGAGCACTTCACCACGAAGCCGTATTTCCATCCCACTGAAGAGAAGCCTCATCCCGCCTTGAAGAAGATCGGTGAGATCTACACTCCCTGGCCGTCTTGGATGATCGTGGCGTCTACTTCATCTTTCTCAGATCTGGAAGCGGATGGCAAACTGCAACAGCTGCTCAAGCTTCTGGATCAGGGCATTAAGGACTTTGAAGCCGATACTGCTCAGGTCGTGAAGCTCTTGGGTACTGGGGAGTTGGGCTGTAACTACGGAGAGGAGGATGCTAAGGAATGGCTCAAGGATGTCAAGTTCACAGAATCGACTCGGGGTGTGCAGAGGAAGCTTGTTGAGGGTGTGGTGGACGTTCTCAAAGTGGCAGGAGTGATTGACAGCAGCATGACCAATGATGAGGCCGTCGCAAGGGTCATTGGCATCCATCAATGAAAGCCATGAGTTACCCAGGCCCCTACCATCAACGGCGGCAAACCTAAGGCATCTGTGTGCAATGCCACATAGCCGGGCACCTTTGTGTTCGTCATGTTTATTATGATCTCTCAAGTCACTGGCTTCGGCAGAACTTGGATAAGTTGGACAAGCAATTGATTTTTGAATGATTAAACCGAGGGCATTTTCGACCGGCGATCTTAATATGCTCGTCATCCCTCTGATAACCTTGTACCTCGTGCACTGGGCTTCACTCCGCGGCAATATAGTCCGATCATTACCAGGGCTGATTGATAGACAACATAGTATGCGGGATTATTTTGCCTTCGGCCAACTTTGTTGGGCTGATTGATTGAAAACATGCACCGCGAGTAACTGATAACCGGGCCGATAAAGAGTACATGCCTTCATCACCAGGACGACTCCTACATTCCTGGGGTCATAAGTGGGTATCTGGCAGGAGCCAAGAATAGCATTTGAATTACGATGCATTCTGACGGCCATGGTCAACGGATCACCTTTGGGCATGAGAGCACCAAAAGTCAGAGCCACGATGGTCAGGAGACAATGGTCATCCAGTTGGTGTATTTGGCTCTAGGAATCATCATCTGCATCAGACGGAACGTCCCAGATTCCAGGGGCAGGTGTACTTGGCTACCTCTCAACACACGTACAACTGCCAGTTACAGTTGTCGGTCCCGGAGAGATGAAGCCACGGCGATTGTGTCTCACTCAATACTTCGATTTTCCACCTACTCCTTGCAGGCTCTCATGGCAGCTATAAAGTTTATTAATATATGCCCGCGGCCAAGCTGTCAAATGAGGCTCGCCTGGTATCCAAACGATTATCGACCCGCCGCCGCGCTACAATGAACGGGCTAGCAGACTTCATCCCAACCATGATTGAACCGTTAGTGCACCTGACTGGGTACGCAAGCTACGATTTTCGTTGCCGCGTAATTGATCATGGGAAGAGAAGCTCGCCCTGGGTTCGGTTCATCACAAGCTGGGGTCCGTAAAAGGGAGTGGCATTCCACGGGCCGCCCAAGGCATTGACAACAAACCATCCTGGAATGTATCTCGGTTGGTTCCCTGCCAATCACAGTTTCCATGAACTTGAGGAAAAACATGCTCTGTCTTGCAGTCTGGGAGCTCCACTCGAATATGACAATCTGGGGGCCTGAGTTATTGGCCGGCTTCGTGAGGAAAGACTACTATCTGGAATGTTTGACCCCAGACACCGGATGACAAGAACTCGGTCCAAGCTTGTTTTCCAACACAACACAACAGGCTTACGGTTAGCCTGGAGCAGACATAAAAGCCGCGACATGAACGGCCATAATCTGGCTTCGTGATAGCAGCTCGACTCGATTTCGACAACCGTTCGGCACCGGCAACTTGGGCATCATCGACTGGTCATCCGCCCTCCCCATCGTTAAGGTAGTAGATCGTTCCTTCAGCACACACTCCTTTGAAAATTCAGTCATTCCTTGATAAACAGACCAACTTTTCATTCCTTTCTTACACTATGACGCTCCTTAAAAATATTCTTGCCTTTTCGATGGGGCTGGCTTCTCTGGGAGGAGCATACGCCAAGCTCGACTTGTCTTCTTCTAACAACGTGGTTGTATACTGGGGTGAGTATCGCGACATATGTCAGAATTTGGCAGTAGTTGACATGTCTACGACCAGGCCAAAATTCCTATGCAGGAACTGGGAGCTTGGCCCAGCAAAACCTGGGCTATTACTGCGATGGTAAGTGTTCCGCAATCACGGTGGAAGAAGCTGCGCTAACCCGGACTCTAGACAGCAATATTGATGTAAGATCAAGCTTCGGTCCAAAAAAGTTCTCTAATGGATGCTAATCATCCTGAAGGTCATTGTCCTTGCGTTTGTGATGAACGTCAACGGACCTGGAGGAGCACCGGCATATGACTTTTCGCTCACTAGTAAGAATTGCACATTGTTCGAAGGCACCAACTTGCCGAACTGTCCCCAAATTGGGTATGTGCCATATTGTCGTGTTTGGAAGCACTAGAGCTAATCGAATGATGCAGTGCCGATATTACCACGTGCCAGAAGAAGGGGAAGACCATCATCCTGTCAATTGGCGGTGCGACGTACAGTGAAGGTGGATTTCAGTCACAATCTGCTGCCCAGTCCGGTGCCGACCTGATCTGGCAGACGTTCGGCCCCCAGCAGCCCAACTCGACGGCTCATCGGCCCTTTGGCAACGCATCGGTGGACGGATTTGATTTCGATTTCGAGGCCACTGTGAATAACATGGCACCATTCGCGAACCGACTTCGTCAACTTTCCGATGCCGAACCCTCAAAACAGTACTTCCTGACGGCAGCGCCGCAGTGCCCTTACCCGGATCTTGCAGACCAGCAGATCCTCAACGGACCAGTGTCGATTGATGCCGTCTGGGTCCAGTTCTACAACAACCCCTGCGGCTTGGGCTCTTTTGTTCAGGGCCAAAGCACGCAGTCGACCTTCAACTTTAATCAGTGGGACAACTGGGCCAAGAACGTGTCTCAGAATCCGAATGTGCGAGTGATGCTCGGCGTTCCGGCGAATACCGGGGCAGCCGGCTCGGGCTATGTGCCAATCTCGCAGCTGCAGTCGATTATTCAGTATACCAAGACCTTCAAGAGCTTTGGCGGCGTGATGATGTGGGATGTCACGCAGGCGTACGCCAACTCGGGCTTTTTGAGTGGCGTCCGCAGTGCTCTGGGGCAAACTGCCTCGCGGGTGTTCGGAACTCCATACCGCTACCCCCTGCACTTGTGGGGTCCTGAGTCCAACACTAACTGGAAGAAATGATTGATTTTATGATGATACCCCTTGTAGGAGTGTGTGTTTGTGAGTGTGTTTGAGAGAATCTAATATGAGGGAGGAGAGAAGTGGCGACAGGAAGCTGGTGGCGTGGATGTGTTGTTCCACAAGGTTGCTGGGATATCATCCTAGTGGAGCTGTATATACCTTTCGGTACATCCATCTTATTCAATCTAATGATTAATATATTTTGCTGAGCTGGTTTGAGGTGGTTATGAGCTGCAGGCCGACTCTTGGCCGCGTGACTCTGATTGTCTGTCGTGGCATTTTCTGTTTTGCATCCTATTTCTTCCTGTCTTTCTCTGCCCTCCTCGTCCATCCACATTCTTCATTCTCTCTGCCACCACTCCTTCGACTTTATTTACCTCGTGCAGGGTCCAACACCAGCACCATCACCAGCCAGCAATCAAGCAAGCAATCCTCATTGCGCCCCGCCCATCTGGCCCCTCATCACCTTGCATGCACTATTGAATCCCAGCCCTGCCGATCGAATTCCGCTGTCTTGGCAGCATCCATCCGGGATTTGAAGCCACGCAGTCATCGACTCTCATTCGGCAGGTCAATCAGGGTCTTTCCAACCATATTCTCAATAATCTTCTCTTTACCTTGGCATGGCGGATCCCAAACTGGCCTGGCACGGAATCGATCGTGTCGATCGCCTTCAGCTGCTCCACCAGCTCGAGTCTTGGCTGCATCCCAGCTGAATCACCATCAAACCTGCTCCTCGCGACAACTTGGGACAATGTGCGTGCTGCACAGTCCTTCCTGTGAAACATGCGGTTGTGGAGGTATAAAAAGCAGCTTCGTGTCTGCTACTGCTGCATTTTCTTCTCGGCAGACTGCAGCAGGCCTTCTCTCTTCTCCAGTGCGCGGGGAACGATCCGATCCGTAACCTAGTCTACACCATGGCTCCCAAGTCCCTCTTCTATTCTCTCTTCTCCACCCTCAGCGTCGCTCTAGCGGCGTCTATCCCCCAGACAGATTACGATGTCATTGTCGTGGGAGGAGGTCCCGCAGGCCTCAGCGTCCTGAGCAGTCTCGGGCGCATGAGACGGAAGACCGTGATGTTTGACTCGGGCGAATACCGCAATGGTGTTACGCGTGAGATGCACGACGTGCTTGGCTTTGATGGTCAGTTCCACCCGTCTACATAAACTTTCTCAGTTCATATGAAGCATTACCTAACATCCACAGGCACTCCACCTGCCCAATTCCGTGGTTTGGCCCGCCAACAGATCTCCAAATACAACTCGACCAGCGTCATCGACATCAAGATCGACTCCATCACCCCGATCGAGGATGCCGCAGCCAACAACTCATACTTCCGCGCCGTCGACGCCAACGGCACTGAATACACCTCCCGCAAGGTAGTCCTGGGTACCGGACTGGTCGATGTGATCCCCGATGTTCCCGGTCTTCGCGAAGCCTGGGGCAAGGGCATCTGGTGGTGTCCCTGGTGCGACGGCTACGAGCACCGCGACGAGCCCCTAGGTATCCTAGGTAGTTTGACAGACGTTGTCGGCAGCGTCATGGAAACCCACACCCTGTACTCGGACATCATCGCCTTCACCAACGGCACCTACACGCCCGCCAACGAAGTCGCCCTGGCAGCCAAGTACCCGAACTGGAAGGAGCAGCTTGAAGCCTGGAACATTGGTATTGACAACCGCTCCATTGCATCCATCGAGCGTCTCCAGGACGGCGACGACCACCGCGATGACACAGGCAGACAGTACGACATCTTCCGGGTCCATTTCACCGATGGCTCCAGCGTTATCCGGAACACCTTCATCACGAACTACCCCACTGCTCAGCGCTCCACTCTGCCCGAGGAGCTGAGCCTGGTCATGGTGGATAACAAGATCGACACGACAGACTACACGGGCATGCGCACCAGTCTGTCGGGCGTCTACGCCGTCGGTGACTGCAACAGTGATGGATCTACCAATGTTCCCCATGCTATGTTCAGCGGAAAGAGAGCCGGTGTTTACGTGCATGGTGAGTATCCTATACCCTTCTTTCTTCCATTCTGAATTTTTTTTTCCTTTCATCCATCCCTATTATCTATCAATCGTCGAATAAAAAGCCAACTAACAAAACGCATAGTCGAAATGTCCCGCGAAGAGTCCAACGCCGCCATCTCCAAGCGCGACTTCGACAGACGCGCCCTGGAGAAGCAGACCGAGCGCATGGTCGGCAACGAGATGGAGGATCTCTGGAAGCGTGTGCTGGACAACCATCACCACCGCCGGTCTTGAATCCTATTTCTTGCTACCTAGTATTAATGTCCTGTTCATGAGTGAACGACACAACTAACCACTACTATGATATATACATGTAACTAACTTTTAACGTCACCTCCATGATTGTATGTCGGAGTAGGACTGACGTATATTAATACTATCACCAAGAAGAAAAATACATTCATAGTTACTTTCAGTACCAAGAGTAGCATTATGATATCCTCGTTTCTATAGTATTGAATAAGACCAATCATCTCCGAATAGATCAAGGTTTACTAGCTACACTTCTTGAGCATGGATTTGCGTAGCTGGCCCCCCCCCCCCCCCCCCCCCCCTCAAAATCAATTCCTACTGCCCGCTTCACATCATCCGTTTGAAAGACAACGAAAAAAAAAAAAATCAGAGATGAACTTCTATTAAGTTGATTCATATATACCTTTATTTTCTTAATCTTATTAAATAGTAAATTTCACATGTGAATTCAGTAGATAAATACGAAGCAGTACGAGTTGGGGGGTGATTGAAGTAACCGGCATCGACACCGCTATATATATATATTTATATTTTTGCAAATAGTACTACTGTAGTAGATAAAACTTTTCAAATTAGCACTATGAACTAGCTACTACTATCTTTATACACAGTGAGTCGTTATGTATGCTATAGTTTTAGGGTAGAATAGATACTATGTAAATTAGTATTTACATAGTAGGAGGTACTTAGCACTTAGTATCGAAGTTACTATAGGTGCGATGATTGACCAATTCGGACACTGCATTCTTCCTCCCCCATGCAGGTGGAACTTAACTACCAAGTACTAACTAACTACTAGCTACAATGTCCAGACAAACACACCAGGTATATATTGACTAGTTACTAACAACTACCTACCTAAATAACAAATTTATAAAAATATCACAAAAATAAATAACTATTATTATCATTCAACATCCGGCTTCCCAATATCCTTCTCTTCCATCTGAGAACACACATTAAAAAATCTTCTCACATCATATGTTCCCTCCAATAATTAACAATATCTGGCCGCTACTCCAGCATATCATTCCAGAATATACTCTTGAGCTCGAGGCGCAAGTCCCAGCTCTTACTCCACTTCTTCTTCCTCCTTGCTGGTGGCCAGGAAGAAGCGGCCCTTGGGCTTCCCAGGCTCCTCGTATTCGACTGTCAATCGAGCAAGGTGACCCAACAGGTTCTCGATCTTGAGGTCGCCCTTGTCGCGCTTGTGACGACCAAGTTCATCGAGCCATTTGAACTTGTTCAGCATGAAGTAGACCAGCGCAATGACGATCTCCACACCCAGCGAGTAGCCCCAGATGCGGACGACCGTGACGATATCTGTCCAGCCGTTGGTGGTCTCGACGAAGGAGTCGCTGGGGTTCGTGGGCATGTCTTGGTTAGTGAACCAACCGAAGAGACAGAAAATCGTTGCCAGAATATCCACACCAAGAATGGCTGTGACAAGGTGGATTGACGGCCAAGTATCAGCACCTCGAGTGACGAAGATCAGCCAGTTTTCTGTCAGTGCTACTTCGAGGAACAGGACCTCCTGAATCGAACCCCAGTTTTGAATGATACCACCCGATGGGAGGAACATGGTACCGCGAACAACCCATGTGCCCAGTGCGAGCAGCAGACCCAACAATACTGAAATGAACCAGATCTTAGGCAGCTGCCATTCAACAGGACGCAACTCAAATGACGCATTATCGTACGCCACCGCGACCGTTGCCAGATCGGCGAAAAGAGCAAGGAAGACAATCAACTCGACACGAATACTCTCGTTGAGAATAATCATCGACGTCACCAGATAGATCTCCAAGTGCAAGCAAAGAGCAATACGGTACTGAATATATGCCTTCATGCGGTGGAAGATCTGCCGAGCAACCTTGATCGAGTCAATGATGGTAGACAATCCAGGCTCCAAGAACACAATATCAGAAGATGACTGTGCCGCCTCCGTTGCTCCTTCAACAGCAATACCGCAATCCGCTTTCTTCAATGATGGTGCATCATTCACACCATCACCTGTCATCGCGGTCAGATGGCCACGGTCTTGGAGCATTTGGACCACTTGGTATTTATGTTCAGGAAACACTTCAGCAAATCCATCTGCCTTTTCAACTAGATCACCTGCCATGGCTCCACTTAGGCCACCATGAATAAGCTTATCAGAGTTATACACCTTAGTACCGAGGGCAAGCATCTTGCACGTTTCTTTAGCGATCGCAATGGCATCACCCGTGAGCATCTTCACACTGATACCCAGGTTCTGAGCTTCGTTGATCGTCTGAGCTGTATCCTCACGGGGCGGGTCAAACATGGGAAGCATTCCGAGCAAAGTCCAGTCTTCTCCTTCCTTTTGCACTGCGACACCCAAGGAGCGGAATCCTCTGTGCGCAAACTCCTGGGCCTTCGCTTTATAGTGATCGGAGGTGCTCTTGGAGCAGTTCGTCAGCTGAAGCACAGCCTTGGGAGCGCCTTTAGTGCAGGTGTATTTTGTTCCATCGCAGCTCGCAACCGTCACAATCCGCTTGGACACCGGATCAAAGGGAACAAACTTTTCGGTCTTCCAACCTCTGCGAAGTATCTCCCTCGCTCTTGGGTATTGCCGGAGAGTCAAGATCGTGACTTTATCGATAGGATCCAGCGATTCGATGTTGTGAGAAGAAGCCAGGACAGCCACGGCGAACATCCAGTCCACATCCACACCTTCAGCTACATACGGCTCGCGGATACTCAGCTTGTTCGCCGTCAACGTTCCTGTCTTATCCGAACACAAGATATCAACGCCCTGTCCGAAATGTTAGCAGCGGTCCAGTTTCCCCCTGATGTACGTTTCGAACATACCGCCAGTGATTCAATTGCAGTCAGCTTTTGCACAATTGCCTTCTTCTTGGCTAGATACGCCGCTCCGACAGCCATGGTAGTGGTGGTCACAACTGGCAAACCGACAGGAACACCAATGATCAACAAAGCAAGGGTGTAGTGGAGGAGCGTCTGCTGACCCGGCGAAGCAATGGGAATATGGCGGTAGAAACCGCCAATCCAAGCAGCCAAGATCCAAGCCATAACGAGAACCAAAAGAGAAGTACCTATATTGTCCATGACAATTTCGAAGTGACCAGCACCCTTGGCTGATTGCACCATGCTCGCAGTTTTACCCACGAACGAGTTCTTCGCGCCTGTCTGGACAACCGCGTAAGCCTTGCCACGCTTGCAGCCGGTCGTATAGTAGATCAATCCACCCATATAGCGATCAACTGCGAGCGATTCACCGGTAATAGCGGAATGGTCACACGCGAGGATGGGGTAGCCACGGCGTCTTTTGGGCTTGGAGTCCTCTTCCTTTTCACCCTCCTTCTGACCTCCTTCAGGCTCATTGTCTTCGAGGTCAGATTCGGAGGTACTGCTAAGGTCGCCTTGCTCCTGCATCCTTTTGAACTCTTCCCAACCATTGGGGTCATTGACATCACAGATAATCTTGGAATCGGCTGGGACAACTGAGCCTTCTCCGATAATGATCTGCAATTATATTGTTAGCTTTCAAGCTCTTATTCACGAACCCCACAAATGGGCTCAGAAGGGTCTCTACTACATACCACGTCACCCGGAACAAGCTCCCGTGCTAAGATTTCCTGTTGCTGACCATCGCGGATCACGGTGGCTCTCATGGCAATGTCACCCTTAAGACTTGCAACGACGTCCGCAGCCTGCTTTTCTTGGTACCAACCCACGGCTGCGTTCAGACACAAGATACCGATGATAACACCAAAGTCAATCCAGTCGTCCAAACCTGCGGCCAGAAGAACAGCCAATTCCATTACTGTAGTCCTGTTAGAATGAAAGGATATCAATCAATGGCTGTACCTAGGGAGTTGATGGCGTACCGTAGAGAATGGGGCCTCGGAAATACGACAGAATCTTAGCGATTGGGTTCTCCTTCTCTGAGACCAGCTCGTTCCACCCGGCACGTCGACGTCTGACAGGGACCTCGCTGCTAGGCAGACCTTGACGGATGTCCGTGATGAGCCAATCCTCGGGGAATTGACCGGGTTGCTGGTCGACATGTTTGACGAAGACCTTGCGCTTCTTCCAGGGTGCATACCACACCCTCTTCTCCTCTTCTTCGCCCTGCACCTCGTCACCCGGACGACCCTCGCGGTAAGTCGAGGCATACTTGACCAATTTTCCATATTCGTCGAGGTTAGCGTAGTCTTCCTTGTAGGAAACCCGAGAGACACGTCTCGAGTCGCGTCGCTCCGAGGTCGAGGTGCGGATTTGCGTTTGCGCTGTCTGCGCGACACGTTCAACGTCGCCAGAGGCGCCGGCCTGCTCAGCCATGATCGATCCAATAGCTTGTCTAGGGCAGCAGAGGAAACCGTTGGCGTGCCCGAAGCGCTCTGCGGGCCTGCCCTTAGTTTACAGCGAAAGAGTGAGCGAAATCAACCTCACGCAGGAAAGAGAGAAAGGAAGCAATCCGGAGCAACAGGCGACAGCAACTCTACGAGGTAGAAAAGAAAAGTCGGCCTCCCCGCCAGGTTTGGGAAAGAAGAGACAAAGGAAAACGAGGAAAGCTTCTTTTTCTTTCTTGGTCCCAAGCAGCAAGGATGCATGGACACTTTCACAGCAGATTGGAGCTCTGACGAATAGTGTTGACGGAGACAATCATGCTGACGTAGGAGAGTCCAGGAAGTTCCGGCAGTCTACGGAGGGTGATCACTCACCAGGTCGACCGGTCGGGCGTTTGTGTCAGTAATCCCGAGCAATTGAGCTTAAAGTGAACCGACTACCGGAGCCAGTCACGAACGCTACAGGATGATAGACCACAAGCCAAGGGGGAATGACTCGTTGATTCGACGAGTGTCTTGACGTATGAGACATGGTGGGATTCCGAACGAACCGTAGGGCATGGACGGGCCGAGTCTGGGAGCACACCAATAATCCATTGTGCCTTGGCGAGCGTTGGATTCTGAGAGGGTCAGCAGAGGAATTGACTCGTGACGCGATGATGTGTACCAGGGTCCTAGGCATGGACTGGGTAACGGAACGGCAGTAGAGAACCAGGGAAAGGCTTGGGAAGGGACAGCAACACAACAGGGATGACAGCTGCCAACGGGTAGAAGGGGGGAGAAGAGAGTGTTCGTTGTAAGCTCAAGCTTTTTGGAATGATCAGACATAAAAACATCAAATAGACGTGAGAATGAAGTGGACAACTGATGCAAGGTGAACTTACGAAGAGTGAGGGTGTAACTAGATAGAGAGGATGTAGATAGAAGGATAGAACTCGATCGACTACTTACTAGTTTACTAGTCAAAAAAGAGGAGACAGTCGATCGATCCGCACCAAGTGGGACTAGTGCCCAGACCCTGACTGCATTAGGACTAGCGCAGTGCAACGTGACGGACCCATCTCGACGTAATATTACGGCTTCTATTACTCTCCATTACTCACTACTATGCCTTCTAATCCCCCAGCTCGAGTCTTCAACTCCTGTTCCTTCTCCACTCCAGAACCTGCCACGGAGCACTCGGATCACACAGGAAGGATCGAGAAAAAAAAAAGAAAAATATGCCGAAGGAAAGCCAGCTCAAATTTGGCGGATGAACGATGGACGTACCAGACGAATGACGGGATCTGAACAAAGCAGTCCTGAGCAGGTGTCATCTTCCCCAGCCCTCCGTCCTCCTTCAATGCCGTCACCACCTTCACAAGGTTCAAGGGATGTTGCCCCGTATCCCTTGGCTACTTCCTTCCACACACCTCCAAGTCTACGGCGATTGAGGGATTTTCTCCCCGAGTCCGATGGTCCTTATAAAAAGAACTTTCGTCTTTACTTTCCTCCAGATGTCACGAGCTACGACACCCCTCGCACTTTTGACCGGAACTGAATTTGGACCCAGCCCTACCTAGGTAAGGGGCCTCTACGTATGTGGCTGCACATTGCCGTATGGTTAGCGGTCGTATAACTAGTATGGCGTAGGGCATGGGAAGTTTACTTGACACACAGCGTAGATGCCGAATATTCCAATCTAGAATCGCGTGTAGTCACCTGGCATACTGTGCTTACTATGTGTCCCATATCGAGATCAGTAGGTGTGAATATCCCGAGTGGATGCTAAGCTTATTATCTAATCACACAACATTCTCTGATTTCTGCTCTTGATATGTGACGGAAGTCTTTTCCTGCAAGTCTCCGACGTGGAACCAGATATTAATGAATAATGCCCGCATATCAATTGACATTGAAATCTTGCATTTCGTCTACATCACATAGTCTGCGTATCTTCATAACATGTAGACTCATATCTACTCAGTGCACATCTATTTGCCAGTCTTACCGGTGGGGATGTTGAACAGCACAGCCGGCTTGCCAGGAGCGTAGGGGCGGTCGCAGCGGAAGTAGCCCTTGCGCTCGAACTGGATGATGTCGCCCTCGCGCAGCTCGGCAACGTTGCAGTCAGCCACGGCGTCCTCACGGAACTCGGTGTTCTTGTTCAGCACATCCTCCAGAGCATCGTCCTCCTGGAGGGAGTCCTTGTTGAGGAGGTAGTCGAAGTCGACCAGCTCCACGGGGACCAGTTCCTGGTCAGCAGACAGCCAAGTGACCTTCTTCTCGGTCTTCTTGAAGTCGCCCTCCAGGTGCAGGTCAAGCTCCAGGGACTGCACAACACCCGCGGCGTCCTTCTCGATCTTGCGGACAATGGCATTACCCCAGGCCATGAGGGTGATCTCCTCGTCCTGCTTGAAGGTCTTGGCATCCTCCTGGTCGAAGAGAACCGAACCGCTGAAGGTGACCTTCTTCTGGCCAACCTCGGGGTTCTTGTTGTGCTTAGGCTTGTCCTCGGTGTAAGCAGCAGGGGCGCCCTTGATGACGGCCTTGACGAGGTCCTTCTTCATGAGGGCAGTGTGGCGCGGCGCAACGGGGTCAATGTACTTCTTGTTGGTCGCCCAGATGAGGGTCCAGTCCAGGTTGGTGATGTTCTTGCTGGGTCCCTGCTTGAGAATGAACTCGCGAAGAGCCGGCACAGTCATACCCCTTCTGCGAATACCTCTGATGGTCGGGAAGCGAGGGTCATCCCAGCCCCAGACAACGCCCTGGTCGACCAGCTTAGTGAGCTTACGCTTCGAGAGCAGAGTACGGATGAAGTTCATGCGCGCAAAGTCCCAGATCTGCACGTGGCGGAGTCCGAGGGTGTCCAAGAACCACTGGTACTGAGGGTTCCGGTCACGGTACTCAATGGTTCTGAGAGCGTGGGTAACGCCCTCAATCGAGTCCAAGATGGGGCAGCACAGGTCGTAGGTGGGGTAGATCTTCCACTTGGTGCCGGTGCGGTGGTGAGGAGAGGGGTTGCAGCGGTAGATGACGGGGTCACGCATGGCCTTGTTGGGGTTGTCCACAGACATCTTGGCGCGGATGCACCATCTGAGACCCTCAGGAGTACCCTGCTTCATCTCCTCGAAACGAGCCAGGTTCTCCTCGACGGAAGCATCACGGCGCTTGCTGGGCTCGCCGTTCATTCTCTGTGAGGCCATGGTCTCCTTGTCGGTGTCATCAGCGTAGGCGTTGCCCTCGCGGATGATCTTCAGACCGTACTCGTAGATCTGGTCGAAGTAGTCACTGGAGTAGCTCATCCTGTCGGGCTTGATGCCCATCAGGGCCAAATCCTCCATGATAGCATCCTGGAACTCCTGCTTCTCGTTCGAGGGGTTGGTGTCGTCGAAGCGCACCAACAGGGTGCCGTTGTACTTCTCGTGCGCAAAGTAGTCGTTGAGCAGAGCAGCCTTGGCGTGTCCAATGTGCAGGTATCCAGAGGGCTCAGGAGGGAAACGAGTGACAACACCCTTGTCAGTGTTCTGAAGAGCAATGTCGTAGCTGGCACCCTCCTTGGCCTTGGCCGCCTTCTTCTCCTTGGCGGAAGCATTGAGGCTCTCCAATGCAGCGCTAGCCCAGGGGCAGAGCTCATCCAGGAAGTTGAACCAACGAGTCAGGTTGACAAGGGCTCCCTTGCGAATAGCGGAGATGGCAACGCGGTTGCCACGAAGGGCACCCCACAGAGCAATATCGGGGGTGGAGAGCGAGTAACCGACAATGAAGGAACGGAGGAGGAGGTGGGTGTTCAGGCGCTGAAGCAGAGGGTCGAGAGCCTTGAAGTCAAGGGTGGTGAAGGACTCGAGCTGGGAAAGCCATTCGTTCTCCTGGGAAAGCCTCCATCAGCATAAAGTCGCAAGAAAGGCGGAGCGGGGATCACTTACAGACTTCTCATCCTTTCCATTAAGGAAGGGGAAGCTGGCACGCAGCTCCTTGATGGCATAGTCAGTTCCATAGACGGGAGCACCGCTGGCACCCGTGAACTGAACGATAGCCTTCTCGCCCTCGGGGAGAACAGCCGCATCCTCGAAGTTGATGGCGATGACGGGAGTAGGGCGAGCCTCGTTGATGGAGGTAGCAACCAGGAGGACTGGAAGCAAAGAGGCCTGGTTGGCCTTAGTGGCCAGGCTAAGCTTGAACTGCGACATCGTTCCAAAGACCCAAAACCCCAGGAAAATGGATCAATTGCCCCAGGAAAAGATGGTATAGAAAGGTGGGATGGAGATAATTTACTGCCGGGAGGGGCAGTTTTGACTCAACGGGCTCCGCCGGCGGTAAGTTTCTCCGCGGGCGATGGTCGGCCGGAGCCTCTAGATTTCGGACCAGAAAACATTCCCGGCGCTGTCAAGCTCATTCGGAGTTCATCGCCATGGCTTCCTCCTACAGCTCCCTCATGCCCTCTGCGGCACGGGGAATCTTGTCGTCATGTCGTCCTGCTCTTCGCCCGAGCCCAATTGCGCCTATTTTGCCCAGCTTGCAGCAGGTGCGCACCGCTGCCCAGGCGCGCAAGGTGAAGGGAGGAGACAAGACCACCAAGAGAAAGAAGGGTCCGAGAGAGTTCAAGCAGAAGGATCTCAAGGATATGCAACAATTCGCGCTATGTGATGCCATGAGGTTCGTCAAATCATCGTCGTGGTTCAATCGACCTTTTCACTGATTGCGTCGATCTTCACCGCAGATATCTCCGTGCATTCGAAGTTGGCCGCGAGCCAACTAATTCCAAATACGAGGTCCACGTCCGCCTGAAGACGAGGAGGGACGGTCCTGTCATTCGCAACATGCTCCGATTCCCCCATTCCGTCCAGACCGAGTCCCGAATTTGCGTCGTGTGCCCTCCCGGAACCCGCCATGAGAAGGAAGCTCGTGCGGCTGGAGCAGTCCTGGTGGGTGAGCAGGAGGTCTTTGATGCCGTGAAGGCCGGCAAGATCGAGTTCGACCGCTGCCTCTGCCACCCGGATAGTTTGGATGCACTGAACAAGGCTGGCCTGGGTCGGATCCTCGGTCCCAGGGGCCTGATGCCCAGCGTCAAGACGGGTACTGTGGTCGAAGATATTGCCGTGCGTGTGGAGATGCTGCGTGGTGGTACCATTTACCGCGAGCGTGACGCTGTCATTCGTGTCCCCGTTGGCCAGCTCGGTTTCACCCCCGAGCAATTGCGCGACAACCTGCGCGCAACGATCGACCAGATCAAGAAGGATGCGGCCGGTCTTAACGACCGCATAACCAAGGAGGTGTACGAAGTGGTAAGTCGCTGACTTGCGTTGCGCTTGTAACCGGTATTGTTTTCTAACGTTCCTTAGGTCCTGAGCTCAACCAACGGTCCCGGCTTCAGTCTGAACGGAGAATTCAGATCGGAGACCTCTCCTGAATCTGCCGCTTTGCAGGGCGTGTAAAATAGTCTCTAGCGTCTTCAAGTTCATGGGTGTACAGAATATGTTTCATTAGGAAGGTTACGGTGTATAATGGTATTTTTTTCAAATCTCACTCGGAACCAGCAAAAGTAAATCTCCCAACGCCGGCGCTATGCAAAATGGCACTGCCTAGCTCTAGAGGTCCTCTAGGACTTCAGATTCTTGAGTGCCGATACGGCAGTAGTGTCCTCTCCCATGAGCTTGTAGAGACGCAATACGGCCAGCGTTTTCGTATCCCGCTTGTCGCCCGCCTGCTTTGCCTGCTCCAGGGCCGTCTTCAGATCCAAGAGCACCGCAGATCGTATTTTCGACATCCTCGGTTGTTGACTCTGTAGGAATGGATGGTTGTCACCTATCCGAGAGGACAGCTTGGTCAAGTAGACATACTTCTGAATATGACGCTCGAGCGTCTTGAGGGAAACGAGCGACGCAGTAGTTGCGCCGTTAGGCAGTTCATCCTCGTCACTATCGTCGCTGTCGCTCTCGATCAGATCGGAGTCCGAATCCGACTCGCCCGGGGTACCGTCCTGAGTAGGCCGGGGAGTGTCTCCGATCATTAATCTCCTTTCCAGCTCCTCGACTCGATCCGCATAGTCCAGCAAGGCCTGCCCAACATTGGCTTGCGTCTTCAGGTGCTTCTTCTCTTTTAGTAGCTCTACCATCTCCTCTTGTCTGGCTTCCACCTTATCCCGTATGGACTGAACATCACGCTGGAATGCCAACAAGCCGACCCGTACCTGCTCGACTTTCTCCTCCCCACCGTTTAATGCGCTCCCTAGGGATAGGAAGTCCTGGTAGTTTTCATTGACCAAGTCTAGGAGTTCTCGACTGAGTAATTGATCCAATTCCCGTAATTCTTGTCGCAAGTCCTCGAGGCTCTGGTGTCGATTGGTGAGGGAGGATAGGTACGCCGCGGGGTCGAAGTCGGGGGAGAGGAAGGAAGCACGAGACAAAGGCTCGGGGAAGGGCAGTCCGGAGGTATCATCGTCGAATTCGGACGCAGACTCGTCGGAGTCGCCAAACTAAGCGCATAACAATCAGTTTCACTGAAGTATGGCGGGAGAACGAATGGGGTGGGTGAAGAAGGAAGAAGGGTTCGGCCGGACAGGGAATAGCATACGCGAAACCTATTCATCTTGAAGGGGTGACTTTTAACGTATCAACCGCACCATATGCAGCTTCCGACGAACCCTAAGAGACAAGCGTCGAGGTGGTCACCACTGCGCGAAGGACACTACCAACGGGTTGGAGATGGATGAAAGACGACAACGACGATGATGATGATTGTTGGAGCTTAGTGTTTTCCCCTTTCGGGTATCGAGTCCCCCAGTTTCCGCCCGCTTCAACTTGAGACCAGCCACTTTTCTGAATAGTTTCTGGATTTCTTCGCTGCATCATCGCCTCTTGAATCCCGGCCCGATTCCACAGTCATCTGCCTCCCCGATCATGCCAGCTCGTTGGCCTGCTGAGTCCATGCATCTGTGTTCCGTGGAGGGACGCGTTGGAGCGTGATACGTGTCCTGCGTTGTCTGCCCGCCCACCGCCGCCGCCGCCAGCCGCTACTGAGAACTTGTTGTCTGACAGGCGCTTGATCGCCTTCCCTGCTGCCAGCCGATCTGCCGCTGCTGTTGCGTATTGGCCGGAAGGCGGGGTTTTTACTCCGGTGGTGGTGGTGTTGTTGTTTCGTTGCGGGTGGTCATATCCCCGTCTACGCTCCGCTGCTGCGTCACAGCCTGCATCGCATTGCCCTGAACGGAGATGGATTATAGGTCCGGCAGGCTGCTCGCCCACACGGACGCTTTTCCATCGTCCTCGTCCGCCTTGCCACGCCGGAGATGGTCGCAGCTGAACCCTCTGCATGCCTCGCCGGTGGTCGAGACCGTCCGTCCTCTGCAACAAACTGCTCCCTATCGCTATGAACCCGCGCTAGATGAGTCCTCTCGAGCGCAACGTACCACTACGCTACGTCAGCTGAATGGGACTGCCGGGACCTCATCCTGGAGAAACCATAATCGGTCAGCTACTTCGCGACCCTCGACGTCGGCATCGCAGCCCGTGCTGGTTAGGGCATATTCGGGCGGCCCTCATGACACCTCCAGCACTGCTACCACGATGCCTTCGCGGCGCTCATTCCCATTCATCGGTGGCTCAAGAAGCCAGCGACGCGGGCCTGCTCTCCCATCGGAGGACGATTTTAGCATAGACGGCATACTGCGAGCTATCGAGCCGAATATTCGCCAGACGTTAGACTCAATCGGAGAAATCTGCGGCCGCAGCAGACTCAGTCTGGCGAATGAGTATGGAAGTCATATCGCTCCTCTGGGCGAGATCCGGGCTCCCCCGGGTGGTCTGGTGACAGTTGAGGAAGCCAGCTCCGACCATGAAAGACAAAGCGACAACGTTGTTATCTACGACGACGAGAATAGTGTCGCCGATGGACGTGATCATTCGTCCTTATCTCAGTATCGACACTGGGACGGTAGACGGCCATCTACGGGAGTTCCTTTCAGAACTCCGTTCTCTGGGGCCGGCTCGTCGAGCCAGGTCCCGCCCAGTACCCCAAGGTCTCCCCTGGCATTGCATGCGCCAGCCGAAGAGCCCGCGTTGGGGGCACTTCCTACGAGGCAGTTTGCCTCCAAGCCCAATTCATGCGGCCGTACACTGTTAGGCACGCAGACACAGTCGGGCTCGAATATTCTTACTCCGGCTCTTGTATCCGAGGTCTTGCTTGATGCCCAGGCTGAAGCCAACGCAACCTCTTCCTCGGAGGTTCCACGAGGCCAGGAGCTTCTCGGTCCTAGCGCTATGGATTCCAGCGCTGGATATAAGGGTTGGATTCCGCCGTCCTTGATAGCCGAGGTGCAGGCGCTTCTAAGCTGGCTACAGTATGGTGCCGTAGCTGCTGGTTCCGAGGCAAGACAGGCAACAGCTGAGATGCGACTACGAGCGATGCTCGAACGAGACCAAACTATCTCAAATGCGTGATGGTAATGTTATTGTCCACGGGAATGTATGAAATGACGAGGAACGGTGGCGATGATGATTATGATATGATATACGATGTTATCTATACACGGCAGAATTACTAGGCAGCGATGCTACCCACGACATATAATGACTGATGACTATGGCACCCACATTGATGAGCAACAGAACAGCACTTTTCTTTCATAGTAAATCATGACCTCGTATCACTCTACATCCATGCCAAAAGACGCCACCCATGACACATGCTCTAACAGTAACCCCTGTATATACTACTAACTCCATCATCATCATCACCCCTCAATCTCCGCAATCAACGTCTTCGAAAACTCCTCGAACCGCGCATAAGACCAACATTCCCGATACCTCTCCACCAGCGGCCTCTCATCCTTTTCTTCTTCCTTCTTCTCCCCATCTACCCTACCAGCACTTCCACCCTCACCCTCATCCTCACTATCCTCACTATCCTCCTCCTCCCCACCAACCTTCCCCTCCACCAACTCCCCAAACCCAACATCAACCGGTACCTTCCCCAGAAACCTCACCCCCATCTCCTCCGCCAAAACCTGCCCCCCACCACTCGAAAACAAATTCGTCACCTCCCCACAACACGGACACGTATACCCGGACATATTCTCCACCACGCCCAACATCGGAATCCTCGTCTTCACACAGAAATTCACCTCTTTCCGTACATCAGACGTCGCCACCGCCTGCGGCGTAGTAACCAGCACCGCGCCAGCAAGCCGAGGCAATCCACTCGCAGACGAAGAAGCATCAATCGTACAAAGCGTCAAAAGCTGCTCCGCAAGAGCAATATGCTCATCACTCGTTCCGGGGGGCGTATCAATAAGCAAGTAATCGGTTTCATTCCATAGCACGTCCGAGAGGAATTGCCGGATCATGGCGGTCTTTTTGGGCCCCCGCCAGATTACGGCATCTGAGCGGGATCGGAGCAGGAAGCCGAGGGACATGCACCGGAGGGAGCCGTGCTTGATGGTGCTTTCTGTTGTCGTTGTGGTGGTGGAGGAGGAGGAGGAGTCTGGTTGTGAGGAGGTGATAGTGGATGGGTGAACGGGGACAGGAAGCCAACCGCCCGGCGCTTGGGTGATTTTTGCGTCTTCGAGACCGACTAGACGAGGGATTGAGGGGCCGGTGAGATCGATGTCTAGGATCCCGACGGATTTGCCTTGAAGGGTGAGCGCGAGGGCGAGTTGTAGCGTTACGCTGGATTTGCCGACGCCGCCTTTGCCGGAGAGGACCTAGGGGTTGGCTTGTTAGTTTGTTTAAGGGATAACATTGGAGTAGAGATGGATGGATGGACGGAGAGGTAGGTAAGATGTGCGCGCATTGTATGCGTAGACATGGCCATTTCATCCATGCTGTGTGCAGTTGCGCGCTTGTTATCGATAAGAGAGGAGGGGTTGTCGCAATGGGATTTGGAGCTGGAGGGAGCTGAAGTTCAGGTATAATGGACACTGATACTCACCAGCACAACATTCTTGACCCCGTCGAGTGGCATCTTGAGTATCTTCCTCTAATTTGGATCCGGGTATCTGGTTGGGTTGGAGGAGTGGTGAAGGTCTGGGGAGGGCGATGGCGAGCCGATTTCGGGTGGGCTTTTTTTCTGCGTCATTCCGCGGAGTTTTGCTTATCAATCCAGCCGGTCCGGAGATATCACGAGTACTTCACTCAGTCACTGCTATCTATGTCTACGAGATGCATGCATGCTGCAGGATATACCGCGTATAACAATGATGTGCTACTCTCTACATGATGTACGAGTCTGCAGCATTGGACTTGTTTTACTGATATCCACCCTAATCTGCTCATTACTGATCATCATTGTATCATTTCATGACATGACTCGGGAGTTGCTTCTCATCAACTCATATCTATGCCTAAAATGCCTATTACTAAATCCTGACGTTGTGAGAAATTGCACCGAGCTTATGCACACCTCTATACCCAACAGGACTATACCACCACATTTATTGCCACTTCTGTACCACCACGCCGCCCCGCTTAAACTCCGCCATATCACCCAGCACAACACTCTTGTCGGAGAGATCCTTGCTGGGGAACGTAGTCATCAATACCCAGGGACGCGACTGGCTGCCAGGGCTGGCAGCGGTCACAAACTGGTACACGTCACCAATGGTATGGCTGGTGTTGAACCGGGAAGTGAGCCGTGAGCCGTCTCCAAGGCGGATCTGAAGAGTCACCGTCGGCTGCGACTCATCTACATCCGGCTTGGCTGGCTCGGTGGACTGACTGGGAGTAGGGGCAGCTGCTGGCGCAGGTGCTCTCACACCAGGCGTGGGGCTGCCGAGGCGCTGTCCAGCCCCAGAGAAGGGCTTGTACTTAGGCTTGGGCTTCACGTATTTCTCGTCATGTTGTTTGATTTCCACGTCCACCTCCTGACCAGCCTGCACATTCATAATAGAGAGCGGGGCACGGCCCTGGCGGATACCCTCGAGAATCTCGCGGTTGGCGGGGTCGTCGGAGTTGAACAGCTCTCCATCATCAACCGAGAAGCCATCAGACCAGAAGTGTAGGGTTCTATGTACGCGCTGCGGTGTCTGCGAAACAGGTGCACTTGGGGATTCGATCACTCTGCTGGGAGCCTCATCACCACCAAGGGTACGTGCGGTGCCGGTGAAGAAAGACCTTCTGGTGGGTTCATCCGATGGCGGAGGTTGAGCCCTATAAACGTATCAGCCCTGAGCTATCAAGCCTATCCAAAGGTCCTCACCTTTTGGCCTTTTCAATGATCTTCTTCTTAATATCATCGGGATTCTGCACAGCCAAGCCCGACTTCTCACCGCCAGCAAAGAAGTCTTGGTTCACTGCATCGTCTTCCTCGGAAGATTCCCCTCCACCCGACGCAAAATCGTTCAGGGTCGCAAACTTCTTTTTCGGGGCCGACCTGCGGGACGAGGGCTGCGGGGTAGTGGAGGGGGAATGAGAGGAGCTGCCACCAAGTGAACGGCCGGCAGAGGGTTCCGATTCAGCGCCGAGTCGGCGACCACCACCAGCTGCGCCAGTATCCTGTGAGGCTTCATCTTGTTCGGCGAAGAATTCGGTGACTGCGGCTTCGAGATCCCACTCGTTGGCTGCCAGGTAGCCTTGCGCCTGAGATGAAGAATGTAATTAGCAACCATAGCTAGAGATAGGTCCATTAGCATGTACCTCATGAGGATCCGTCCTAGTCATGGCGCAGAATTGAGAGACAATCTCATCGCGGTCCGCGTTGTGCTCCATGTTGGATGTAAATCAACCGTGACGGCACTGCACACGTTGTGATGGTTGGTGTTAGATTTTGTGAAGCTTCGCAGTCCAGCACTGATTCAAAGATGGAGAAGCACAAAAACTATCGAAGAAAGGCGGAGAATGTCAGGGCCGTGGAAGATGCAGTGGTTCGTATTATTGTAGCTCTTCACGAAGCTGAAGGGACCCAATAACGGTACGTCACTGTTGCCTGATTGGTCATCCGGAAGAGGGGATCTTCCGCTGGTGCCTGAGGAATCCCCAGGCGAATCATCAATGAGAGGATATTCCGTGACGAAAGGTAGTGACTTCACTCCTTTCATTTCTTGGCTGCACTCTCACTTGCTTCTCATACTTGACTGCTCGTCTGACTTTACTTGATTTTATCACACGACCCTGCAGGCTGTCTCTTCAGGTTGTTGCTATAGCGAACGCGAGGGCAGGCTGCTTACATAACGGCTTCTGCAGGTCAGGTGTAGATCGTCAATCCAGCCAACCCCAAGGGACCGACCTCATCCAGCGCCGAATTCCCCTCCATTCAGTTGGTGCCCTTCGTATCCCCGCGTCTATCAACTTGCTGATTGTTTTTCGCAGTCACAGACGGGCTTTTTCTAATTTCCAGCCCCGTTCTTGACAGTTCCCTTTCCCTGTTGATCGCCTTCTCCCCGCATCATGGCCGCCGACCTCTCCAGCTCGAGGGAGCTGTATGAATCTGGACTGACTGTCCACTCAGATTCTGAGAATTATTCGGCCAATCATGACATCTCCGGCTCTCAGTCATCCTCCTCGAGCTCCCCCTTGATCCTCTACAAGCCCCCGACCATCTGGAGTATCCTGCGGGGAGCTGCCATTAACCTCGTTCTTCCATTCGTGAATGGCTTGATGCTGGGGTTTGGCGAGTTGTTTGCACATGAAGCAGCCTATCGACTCGGCTGGTCCGGGACAAAGGTACGATTAGAATCTACTGCTTGATACCCAGGAGCGCAGGACTCGCCCCGGTCCTTCGTTCAAAGCCGGCTTTCGTTATGGTTCAATATGACGCTAACCAAATGGTCATATTAGGTCTTCCCTATGCATCGGCGTTCGAGACCTATCGGGCCCGGAATCGAGGTGCGAGACATCCCGTCGCAACGGAGGGGGACTAGGGCGGCCGGACTGAAGGATGCTACGTCTCTAGAGTAGACCCGGATGGAGTACTAGCGGACCATATAGATATCTCATCACGCCCGATTGATATTGGCATGTACGGGTAAAGTGGCATCAAAACAGTTCATTTCTTGTCGCTTGCAGGGTGGCATGAATGCGCATCAGGGGGTTACAGTGTACATAGAGCAAGCATCAGTAATCGGTCTGACTGGACGGCGTCTGGCGAACCACCTCGAATTTAACCTCTCACACATTGACGAGATCTGGGTTTCTTGAGAATAGCCATATGGATGTGTAAATCGGCCTAAATTCATAGCGAAGACTAGACCGCTCGAGACTCCGTAGGAATGAATTGAGGATTTCCGCCCGGCAGAAAAGGCAGGCTTGGCGCCGAAAAAGCGTCCCGAAAAGCCTCCGCGATTTTCCCCAAACTCCGATTCGATTCCCCAATTCATCTCATCCACCTTCATACCAATTCTCGCCATGTTGGGAGGGACTGGTCTCAGTGGACGCGGCGTTCTGCCCGCCGTGGCCCGGCAACGGTTGTATGCCTTCTCACGTTCCAGCCGATCGGTTTGTCCTCCGCCGCAGTCATCTCTTGTCGGCTCGAGTACGAGATTGTTGACTTTGCCCTACAGATGTCCTCATTCCGTCCGCAGACCCTGAGAACCGCCGTCCCATATGGTCAATCCAAGCCGACACTGCTTGGAACGCGCTCCTGGCGGCCTGCCACTGCGATCGCCGGAGTGGCCGCCGCTCGCTTCAATTCCACCTCTTCGGCTCCTTCATCGACTACTCCCTCGGTCCCGGCGGCCAGTGAAGTCTCTCTCGCACCCCAAGGAGAAGTCAACCTCAATGATCTGACCGCGGCTGATATCAATGCGATCCCGGAGCAGATTGGATATTTGAAGCAATTGGGCCTGGATTTCGGTTGGGGTTTTTCGTCCATGATCGAATGGAGCGTTGAGCACTTCCACATCATGGGTGGTCTCCCCTGGTGGGGTGCGATTGTCGCAACCGGTCTCTTCATTCGTCTGGGTCTTCTGTACCCTACACTTATGGCTGCGGACACCAGTACTAAGCTCAACAACATCAAGCACCTCACCACGCCGCTTCGGACGGAGATGGTTCAGGCCAACTATAAGAATGACCTGATGGAGGCGACACGGAAGAGGGCGGAGTTGAGCCAGCTGCACAAGGATCACGGTATCAAGCCCTGGAAAGCAATGATCCCGATGATTCATATTCCCTTCGGTTTTGGTTGTTACCGTGTCGTCAACAACATGTGCAGTCTGCCGGTGCCCGGACTGACCACGGAACACGTTGGCTGGCTTCAGGACCTTACTGTTTCCGATCCCTACTACATTCTTCCTTTGATTGGATCAGTTATCCTACATCACACTCTCAAGGTGCGGGACTTTGCCTTTTCTTTCCAAACGTCTAGCTAATGCAGTTGCTTGTAGAAAGGAGGAGAGACCGGTATGAACCAAATGAAAGACTCCGCTTTCAAGAACCTTTTCCTCTACGGCATGCCCGCGATTTCGTTCCTGTTTATGGCCAATTTCCCTGGTGCCCTTCAGCTCTACTTCATGACCACCAGTGTGTTTGCTCTGGGGCAAACGTACTTGCTTAGCTCGTCCACTTTCCGGAGGATGGCCGGTATCACCATAGTGGATACCAACGTCCCGAAGCCCGACGAACAGCAAAAAAACGTTAACCATGGCCTCCGCTTGATCAACGAAGTACCTGACAAGGAGGCCGCCCAGAAGGCTGCTGAGGAGGCGGAACGCGAGAGGTTGAGTCTCATTGACCGTACCATCGGACAAGTCAAGGAGACTGGGTCGAAGCTCAAGGATGAGATGCAGAAGAAGGTTGAGGAGTACCGGGGCAGTGGTCCCACCAAGAACGCGGATGGAACTATTTCCGCGGGCCCCCGACTCAGCGAGAAGGACCGCAAGCTTGCGGAGGACTACGAGAGACGGCGTGCTGAGGAGGAGGCGTGGAAGCGCGAGGAGCGGAACCATGCCCGTCGCGAGGCTCATCTGAGGGCCATGGAGCTGCAGCGCCAGAAGGCTGCGCAGGCAAGCCGGCAATAAGTGCATTGATATGACCAGGCGTGACGGGCTCCAGCGTGATGTTTTTTGTAATTATCTGTATTATATTGATGCTATCTCATTCTCATTCACCTCGGTTGTTTTATAGGAATAGACTAGGTCTGTTAACCATGGAATATCGATGCATAGTTGCTGAACGTGAAATATTCACATCGCTTTGTAGTCCCTGTTCACCAGGTATTCTGTAGGTCCCGTTCACTAACCACCCTGAGTCTTGCTTAGTCGGCGAATAGCTTCACTGGCCCTGCTCAGGGTTTGCCTATAAAAGCCATCGCCCCGGCGCCAGCGTGGGCTTCTTCTTCCTCTTCCTTCATCCTCTCTCCACAAAACATAACACGTTTCTCACTCTTAAAATACTTTGTGTGAACTGCTAGATTCTATTCATCACCACTTATCTCATATGAGAACTTCTTGACCACACAGAAGATATCTTGACTAGCCTGATCGAGCACAGCCATCTCCAAATGCATGGATCGAAGCTACATATGGCAGACTACATACTTGCCGTGTTTGCCAACAAGCACCTGAGTGGCAACCGGAAAGGGGCTTGTCAAAGATACCCAGTCAGTGTTGTCGAAATAAAAGGGCTGAATATCCTGAGACATGAAGAAGAACTAGCTCTTCGATGATTCTGTGCATGTTGGCCAGCGGCCCAAACCGAACTTGAAACGAATCGCTTCAAATTATACGACTGGCACCGCTTGAAACTATCAATGACTCTCCACAGTCGAGTTCTGTACTGGGATATCTGTATCCTGGTCACCTACCGAAACCCAATATCGTAGAGGAATGGAACAACTATGCCCTCGTTTTTGCGACTGGAAGCACTGTCCAGTGTTGGGGCTGCGAACTTTCTTGACCTTGTCGAAGAGCTGGACAATTTCTCGGTACAATTGCAGAGACGACCTTCTCATGGATGAAACCGCTGGTTCTATGAAGAGAGACCTTGACTGTATCCTATCCGAGGATAAGGTATGAATCAATCAACCCAATTGTTGTTGGGGTTCACCATTGTCTCTTGACAGTTTTTAAGTGCTTATGAGGCACTAGGCTTCCCTGGGCTGATGAAGAAAGACAATCAAGCGAGAACACTAATCCAGACGCTCAAGATCTTTGGCAGAGTTACAAACTTAACGAACGCAACGGGAATGCCTATTACTATTGACGAGCTACGCTACGACACTATGACACTCGATCTCTCCTTCCATATCATTCTTATGCAGCTTGTGACTTGGGTGACCACATGTACCAGGATAGCAAAAGCAATTGCGGATACTCTCAAATCGCTAGGACAGCGGCGACAAAGACACAGTTTCAAGCTGGCTCGTTGAATGTCATGAACATCAAGAAGAAATCCTAGGGGCAATAAACATGGCAACGCCACAACTGACGTTCAGTGCATTACAACATTGTCAAAACCGTGGTCTACATGCACGCCTCTCATGAATTTGTCGTCAACCGAAAGCGCCTGCGCAACGTCTACATAAAGCTGGGCCGTTGACTACTTTCAAAATTCTCTGGGGGATTCTCAGATTGGGTAACTTATGCAGCAATGCCATAACTGCCTAACTCGATGGCTAAAGAGTAGGAGATAGCTGATAGGGCCGATCAGACTTTGCGCAACAATACTGCAAGCGCAACATGATGATACAGTTGCTTTCGTTCTAGCACCGCATTAATAACGATCTCCACGGCTTTACTGTACAGTTGGGGTTGTGGGACAGGGGATATAGGCTCTCAATCACTGCCCGCCCCCGACCAGCAGGCTTGTCCTGAGCTGCAGCCTTGATGCATTCTAATCAGCAGCTAATTTCCAGCCAGGGCTACTCGAGGGGATCACTCCAAATAGTGAAGCTTCAAGCGAAGATTGGCTGCATCTATGGGCTTTATATTCTTAGTACTCGACGTACCATTGTACACACTCCCGGGTCAGGAGCGGAGTTTGACCTAGGAGTCACCAATGCGCTGATCCATACCTCACTCGCAGAAGCATCAAAGCCACCTTCCATAACAATTCCTGACTTGAAACCCTTAAGAAATGTGTCATTGACCCAAGGCAGTCTCATAAGGGCATATGAAAGGCTGAGGTGGTAGTAAGGCAGGTTGTACTTATTGCTGGGGTCAGCTTCTTGCATTTAGTCACAACCGCAGATGACGAGGAGAAACCAGTGAAAGCTTCCCATCACACGTATAGTATAAAGACCTTACAGACGTTAAGTACCTGCCGGAGCGACTCTTCGAAGCGCAAGCCGTGTCTATGGCCGGTCGAGAAGAAGGACAACCTTGAAATTCAACGGTGGCTACGGCCTGAAATCGACCGGACAACCTGACTGAGCGAGGACAAAAAGAGCCCACTGAGATGCTTTCGCCTTCAGTTCTTTTCCGCAGATGACGAGAGATGAGAACCGATACTCCGACGCGCAGCGTCTCAAGCGGGAACGCATTATTCCCTACGTAATGCCCTTGGGAAGCGTCAAAAAGTCGACCTGACGCAAGATTAAGTCAACGAATACACACACACACACACACATCGTGAACGTTTGAGGAGATTGTTCTGGAACAGCTAGTCCATACACGCATATCAATCCATGGTCAGGGGCAATTTTGCATGGGATTGGAACTGAAATCCATGCCGTGACTGCGATTAGCAGCCACAATTGCTAGGCATTGGCTGTAATAAAAAAGCGCAGCTTTTGGTTACATCTATATGGAGTCGCCCATAGACCTGAGTCATTATCTTGTCCTCCTATACTACAATAAACCCGCAGTATAAAGGTTCTGCTCAGATATGCAACATTCTACGAGACTACCAAGCAGGCACGATATAGCTATCTCAGCCAACATACGTGAAGGAATGCTCAATACCGCCAACTTCAGATCCTACTCCGCGTCCGCGATAACGGTAGTGATTGCCTTAAAGTCAGATCGCTCGGATATGACCACTGAACGTGTTGAACCAGATGGAGCACAGAGCCATGTTGGCCGGTTGAAATGGTTTGTTGACGATCAAGAGAACCGCACTGGTACAATCTATGGGTCTTTAGTAGACAGTGGCGCACACCAATGAAATGATATTTCTCAAGGGTTGATTGGATAAGGGGTAGGGGTGGGAGAACGTGCGTGATATGCTGAGGATGGCCATGGTTATCGAAGACGTGCCTCATACAAGCCTGCTTGAAATCCGGGATCCGACTAGACATGGTTTACTAGTATCTTAGCTGTTACTGTACTATGCTTCAGTTATAAAAAGAATATATTAAGAGACTGCTCAGTACTTATCGCGTGATGTATGTTTATTTAGGATATACTTGCTGGCTTAAAAGGTTACCTGAAATAATGTCATAATAGGGTTATAGACCTCGAATAGTAGTACCACTAAATAACAGGAACTAAATCTCAACTACTGCTTCTATTAGTCTTGATAATGTCTCGGAAAAATCGTAACAATCATCTGTCTTCATAAGCAACCGCATAGAAACAAGCTGGACCAAACCCCAGAAAATCAGCCCTACCAAGACGAGGCCAGCCGCACTCGCACCTCCAAGGGTCGCTTCTCCACCAGCAAGAAGGTCCGCAATTCTTCCCATTGCAGGCGTTTCCCCTCTACCGCCTCGAAATCAAAGCTGACCAGTAATTTTGTGAGGATCAATCTGATCTCTGCCCACGCCAGGTGCTGACCTAGGCAAGACCGTGGCCCCATGCTGAACGGCTGCACCGCCTGACGGTCATCGTGGTAAAAGGGTGAGTTAGGGTTGTTCAACGCATCCGGAAGCCATCGCTCTGGAATGAAGGAGGAGGCTGCATGGAAGCGAGAGGGGTCGCGATTGAGGGTATAAGCCTGCAGAGAGACCGAGTCTAGGCCGTGATGTCGCTTGTCAATGCTATGTCGATCATGTATCAAGTTGTTTATTTGACTTACTCCGCCTGGTAACCATGTCCCACACACAGTACTTCCTCCCGGTGGCACCTGGCGGGGAAGCATCCACGGCACGGGTGGACACAGTCGGAGACCCTCCTGGATCACTGCAGTGAGGTACGAGAGATCCGCCGCCGCTGAGAGGTTGATGTCGTGACTAGAGTCGAACCTTTCGCGGATCTCTCGGATGAGGCGCTCCTGAATTGGTGGTTCATTCACTAGATAGGCCAATATACCCGTCAACACCGTGGCAGTTGTTTCACTGCCCGTTGTAGTCAATATCATAAAGGTCGAGTTAAGCTCCCCCCGTGGTAATGCCACTTGGCCATGCTCATTGATTAAGTGAGACATGATATCTGGTCGCTGAAGTTCCCAGCTAAGCCGTCGGTCGATCTTGTCCACGATTTGCCGGTAATGGCGCTGACTCTTTTCGTGCAGCGAGCGGGGGATGCATTTCATCAGTAGCGCTTCTAACGGGGGGTAATACCGCGCTGCCGCAGTAAATGAGGCCGCCTTAACACTACCGAATAGCAGCGCAATCCAGGGGTGATACCGTGAGTGCTGCAGACAATCAAAGGACTCGCCAAAGCCGAGGTCGCCGAAAATGTCAAAAGTGGTGAAATTGAACCAGGGGCCCATGTCAACCACTGCTCCGTCTGTGCCAGCGGCTGACACTTGGTCTCTGATCCGGTCGACGAGAAGTGAGGCATATCTCTGCAGCACAGCCTCTTGCGCCCTCAAAGCACGCGGAGTGAAGGCTGGAACGAGTAACTTCCGCATACGAGAATGTTTGGCCGGATGGATCGCACTCAAAAGAGTATCAGGCTGGCCAGGCTGCCTTCGCCACCAGAGGGGATCCTTGAGAAATTGGCGATCGTCAGGCCGACTCGCATAGATGTCTGTCCAAGCGTCCCCGCTGGCAAAGCTGACCTCGTCGGGGGCGGTACGCACAATAGGCCCATACTTGCGATGCAATCTTTCAAAGTCATGGACAATCGTGCCCCGAAGTAGTGCCCTAATGAACGGCAAACGGGTGGCAGACCAACTAATCGGCCCGGGTAAGTGACTCAATGGACTGAACAATACATTGTAGATAATGCGGCTTATGGGGTACTGAGCAAAAAGATCAGTAATTATTCGGATTAAAAGTAAAGTAGTCTGGTGAGGAGAGAGATGCATACAATCACGAGCAGGGAAATACCTATACTCAAAGCGTTAACAGCCATGTTGATGGTATGGTGGTAGGAGGGGAAATGTAGGAGTTAGGGAAGCACACTAAATAGGGTTGCTAAGGGTTGAAGGACAAAGAGACATCGGCTTACCTGGACTAATGCATGCACATTACAGCCTATCACATCGTGGCCCCTAATTTCCCAATCAACAGGAAGGAGATCCCTGTATGACCCCTCAGTTTTCTCCATCCACATTGCTTATCTCTTCTTTGTCGCTCCCTCCCCGTATCAATTTGGTAGAATTCCATTAATTAGACCTTTTAATCGAGACCAACAAGTCAATGTGGGCACACTGCTATCTTCGTAATAGATATGTTGGATAGTATCGATGTTTTTATATTGAAACGGGGGGAGGGAGTGAAAGGATGCGAAGGATGGGGGTGAGCGTAGGAATCTCGAGAAATAGATGGTGCGATGAGTACCCTAACGGATGAATAGAAAGCCTTGATGAGAGTAGAAGGAATATTTATGGGATGCGCGTTGCATGTATTATCACGGCGGATCAAATTTATCACTGCTATAAGGGGATGGGTACGCCTGGAATGCTAGTAGTTAGAATCATGATAAGAATGACTATGCAGTGTTTAGTAAATAGTATAGACAATCTGTCTACCGTCATGTATTAAGCAATATCATCACAGCAGTGGTCTTTATCAGCCACCATTTTGCTATCCACGCTCAACTCTGCTCCCACAGCTCTACCATTACCCAGCTCCCATGATCAATAATCACCGGAAGATACGCCGCCCACCAACACTTCCAGCCGACCAAGTGACCGACCCTCTTACCCCCAAATTACCCATACTCAGCCCGGAGAACCCTACGCCACCACCCTCTCCATCCCGCTTATACCGCCGCAGCGCTTCCCTCAGATGTGAAGGCAGTAACTGACCCCGATGGGGATTCGGAGGCAACTTAACATCCTTCTTCCCAGCAGGCGTAGACATAGGCCCCCTCTCCACGGGCTCCTGCTTAATACCCCCAGGTGTTGCTGCTGTTGTTGTTGTTGTCGTGGTCGCCGCCTGTTCAGCTTCAATGGCAGCCAAAGCCGCCTGATCATGAGCAAGAGCCCACTCAGCCTGCACGGTACGAGCCTTCTCAATAATCTCACCGGCAAAGACCTTCGTAAAGCCATTAATCGTGGTAACCACACTAGCCGGCACAGACTGCGACAGAGCATGATTGACAATACGTCGTAGCGTTTCCTTTCGTAACTTGGCTCGTTTGAACAAATCGTATCGTTCCGACTGGATGGGATTGAATGCATCCACCAGCAATCTAGAAAGAACCAGTTAGCACCACACCACGATACAACGAAACCCAACAAGGGGAATGGTGGGATACATACGCCATATTCTTCTTCTCCGCCTCCGTATCCGTCGTCCCCTCCTCCCTCCCCAACAACTCCCCCTCATCATCAAAATCCTCATCCTCATCGGCATCTTCTCCCCCTCCTCCAGCACCTCCACCACCAGCACCACCCCTCACCGACGCGCCATCCGCATCCACCGACCCCAGTCGATCCATCCCCGCCCGCAGACTCCCTTCTTCCCTCTCGCGCTCCTTCTCTGCTTTACTTTTGCGGCCGCGCTTCTTTCCTTTCGTGAGAAAAACGCCATCTGCGCTGGTCCCGCCTAAACTGCCTGTGAAACTGCCCGTCACGCTGCCGGCGTCGCTGTAGGTGCGCGTGTCTGCGTCAATGGTGTTGGGGAAGGAGGTCTGGCGGAGGGGGTGCATGCGCGGTCGTTTGGGATGGCTGCCGAGGGGTTGGGAAGAGGCGGAGGAGATGGAGGGGCGTTTGAGAGGGTTGGAGGAGGGGGGTGGTGGCGAGGACATCGTGATGGTTGTGTGTATGTGTTTGTGTTGGAAGAATGGAGAGATGGGTGGTGTTGGTGTTGCTTTGTCGAGAGCCGACAAGGCTTGCTCGCTGTGCGGATGAATACTCGTATCTCGATCTGTCTGGGGATTTCGATAAGACGCGATTCAGGAATAGGTAGTTATTTCGTTCAGGATAGATAGGGTAAAGGTGGTGGACTGGATATGGAGACAGCTTGGGGAAGATGATGCGATGAAGCGCGGATGAAAGAACGAAAGGCGGCTTATCGGTGTTACGGCCCCCCCATCCGGCAAGTCTGCCGAGTGGTCGAACTGTCCGCCGGCGCGCTCCTGCGCCCGCCCGCTGCTTATTTCTACTTCACTCGTTCTTCACTCAACTACTCGGAAGTTCTACATTTCTACGATCAATGCGCCTGATCAGTCCGTAAGACGGATAATATTCGTTCAAAATAACCACAATGCCACAAGGCGTAAGCGAAGGTGGATACTAACATTGCTCAAAAGGAACAAAGCTCAATCGCTCGATGACAGAAAAGTAACAGTTGACAAAACCCGAAATTGGAAACAGTCAAGTAAACGATATCATTCTCCCACTTCCATCTCACCTCTCATGCATGGATAGACACCGTGTTCGCTCTCAAACGCGCTCTTCTCCGAGCCGAGGGGCCCCCCCTTTCCAGTCAAGACGTTCGTAGTAGCGGAACACGAGGTCATATCCGTCCAAGTCATGCACGATCCGATCCACCCGACGATATCCTGCCACATTTTCCATCTTGGTGCGACGAGCTGCCTGCCGCTCAATGTACTTGACCTCCTTGATGTGGTCCAAGTCGCCGTCAGCCGTAGTAGTCTCAGGCTTAGCCTCGAACAAGGTCACCGTGAAGCGTCCGGGCTTGAAGATGTTCACCACCTGCTGGATGATCTCCTGCGTAGTCTGGCCGTTCTGCGAGTGCGGCACGTTGGTCTCAAACGACGCATAGGAGCAGTGAGGCTCCGGGGTCACATGCACCGTAAAGTAGTGCGTTCCGGTGTTCTGGTCCGGGGTGGGGATGACGCCGTTGGCGGAAAATCCGCATGGGGTGAACAGGTAGGCGTCGATCCGAGACTCGGGAACTTGGACTTAGGATAGACGTCCGAAAGACCACAAGACTCCGACACGACCGTTCCCAGAGCATGACCCTCGGTAGTCAGCTCAGGAGGCAAGACGCGGCTGCCGTTGGACGACACGTCATCCATATCGGAGTTGTTGCTAAAGACATCAACGTGGTCGTCATTGTCGGCCTCGAAGTTGCAGTAACGCTTCTCGGCAACAGCAGTAGCGTGGTCAAGGTAGAATTGCTTGGCGTTCTCCTCATCCAGGTCGGTCATCAACACCTCCAAAGTCTCATCCTGATCTTCGCGAGTCTGGTACGCTCCAGCTGCGGGCACTTGAAGCATCTTGGTCTCGGTCACCGGATCCTCAGACTCGACCCGAGGGCTGGTCGGGGGAGTGAGCAAGGTGTTGGGCTCAGTTAGGTAGAGGTACCAGTGCTCGCCGTTCATCTTGCCAATCATGTAGGCGCTGCCGTTGAGGAATAGCTTGTCCATGGTGCGAACCTCGTCTCTCCAGCTGCGGTGGGGACCGCGCTGACGGTCAGGGAAGAGGAAGTTCTTGCGGCTGTAGAACACGCGGTACGGGGCCGCAGCGACGGCGATGCCGCGGGAAGGCGCCGTGGCGCGAGGGAAGCCACCGAACAGAGCGGCAATCTCGAGGATGCGCGGAAGTCCCGACAGCAGGGTCGTCGTACCGCAGGTCTTGAGGATCAGCTTGTGGGGCCAGACGAACATGCTGGACTCGGACAGGAGATAGGCGTCCACATCCTCAGACGAGACAATGGAGAGCACTTGGCAGTTGACGAGATCAAGCATGTCCTTCCAGATCTCTTCGGGCACAGCCTTCAGGCCGGCAGGACCGGCGGAACCCAGTTCCTGAGCGGACGGGGCAAACCAAACCTCCAGAAGCTTCTCGGGGCCTTCACTCACGTCAGTAACATGCCAGCATGCGCTTCTACTATAACAGTGACATACCTTCGAAGGCGTTGGTAGAATCAAGATCCTGGGTCGCCTCATGGTTGATCGTCAAGGACGGGGTCGCCATGAACGAGGACGGCGACGCCGTGTAGTGCTGGGGAATTCCAATGTAGACCATCTTGACCGATTGGGAAAATGTGTTAAATTGATCGGTAGAGCGGATGGAGCAGCGATATAGCAGGTGCGCGCGACTGGATTTGTGGACCGTAGACAAAGAGCCTAGGAAGCACTATCTGCTGCCCAGACGAACAGGGGGGCTATGTCCGTCTGAGAGAGTAGGCCCTTAATCTTTTTTAAGGTAATTGGCACTCAGCCAAAGAGGGGTAGATTCGGTAGAAGCCTGAAGGGCTGCTAGGGAGGGCGGAACGAGAGGGAAAGGAGGAAAAAGCCTCTGGAAAAGGGAATGGTGACTATATCGTCGTGACCCTCGTGCTGGAAGATACCGATACCGGCGAAAGTATCGGGTCTAGCAGACGAGAGTATCTGCTTTTTTAAATGTGGGAGAGGAAAAAGTGAGGTTTGCGCGACTGGAGAAAAAAGGTGGGGTTCAGGCGTGTTATCGGGGCCTACTCGCGATCTGTTAGCCATGACAGAAACTTTTGACCCACCAGAGACCAAGTGAATGGAAGAGATTCAGAAGATGGAGACAACCTACTTGGCAGGCTTAGACAGGTACCGTAGTAGATCCTTCGGGTTCATGGAAGGCAGGACAGATGACGAGCTTAAAACAGCACGATGTCGCGAAAAGCCACAGCACTGAACATCTGCGAGGCGACTTCCGACGGCAACGATAACGGGTAGGGCAAGTGTGCAGAGAAGAAGCAGTAAAGCAATTTGGCTCTTTGATCACTCAATGAGTCAAAGACAACCAAAGCAATTAGGTCCTCTTCACCAAACAAGTGAGGGAAGAAGGGAAATAAATAAGATTTGGGAAAAAGGCACGCGGACGTGGGGGGGGGGGAGGGAAAAGAAAGAAGTAGTTATTGACGGGCGATGGTTGAGCGATTATTATTGCTGTCTGTGATCTGTGTGGGCCCGGAAAAAGTTCGTGGGGCGGGCAAAAAAGACAAGAGGCCAATCTGGGTTGGGCGCTTTTGGGAATCAAGCGCAGAATCTGAGAGAAGGGCGGGAAAACGGTTCAGATTCGGGAAACCTCCAATCAATAGGATGAGGGGAAGATGCAGGAACATATAACTCACCTGGGCAATTATAAAATTTAGTCCAACCACACACGATCCCTGGAGAGGCAGGAGGGCGCGATGGATGAATAGTAAGTAGATGATGAGAGAAGAAGGCCAGGAATAAGGAATGAGCCGGTCGGATTTTCCCAGCCATACTAAATCCAGACGAAATAATACGGAAAAAACCCGACATTTCGTGCCCAACCAGGCAGGCGGTGGTACAAGGGTCAACCAAAGTGAGAAAGAAGGTGACGTCGTGTCTCCCTCCCTTCAAGGAAACCGGTCACACAACTTCCACCATTCCTAGACACTCCAGCACTATCAAGTATGAACATAGTATACTTTGTTGCAATCAGTATATCATGCAGAGGTACAATTCGCTAGCTAGCATTCAAGAATAGCCCCGATTCCCTCCTTCTAAACACCCTTTTCCCAAAACGCCGATTCTGTCCATGCCCAGCAACAAAGGATTAACTAACAAACAAGAATGAAAAAGATCCACGCATGCCTCTTCACCCACCCCTTAAGATATACATCCAAAGTAGATATACAAATCATGCTACTTGTTGTAGTGAGAAGAGAGACATGGAGAATCAGGATGACGACTCCACAATGGCATGAGCGAGGTCAACTTCCCCCGCGTCACTAATCTTTGCGGCCAGGAACTCGCCCACCTTCTGACTCAGCCGATCTCGAAGGCCATCCGTCACCATCGCGCCATGACCGTTGGCCAGTGCCATCCGGCCCTCCCGTAGCGTGTTCAGCACCCCCAGCAGCACGCTAAGCACCCGCTCTGCCTCCGGCCGGCGTGGACTCTCCTCCGCCATCCCATCCTTGAGCAGGTTGCCGTACGTCGGCAGATTAGGCATGATCAGCACCCGCACCGCCTCCGCACCGCCAACCGCATGTAGTCCGATCACCGCGCCATAGTGCGCCCCAAACGGCTTGGACGGGTCCAGGAACGTCTTCAGGCACGACCGGGCCAAGCGTGGCTTCAGTGTATGCGACGAATTGGAATATTTCTTGGCGATAAGGCCCAGAAGCGATGCTGCAAGGTCGCGCAGGGCAAATTGTTCCGTCAATTCAGCACTGCCACCGAGTTGTCGGCCGATCAGGCAGGTCAGAATCGGTGGAACAAGTGAGGCAATCTATCAGGAGTCAGTCAAATGTAATCGGTGTTGTTCATGTGACAATCAGGACTCACATAAGGGTCCACGTAGAGAGACTTGTTCTGTACCAGAGCCTCGGCCATGTGCATCACCTGCGTCAGGACGAAGACATCCTTCAGCCCATGCGTCACCTTCTCCGAAATGAACTGCACGAAATATGGCACCAGCTGGTGTAATCCAGGGTCTTCTCGAAGACTAGCATAACCCGACGTCCTGTACTCCTCACTGGACTCGTCCAGGAAGGCGTTGCAGACCTTCTCGAAGTATAGCTGTAGCTCCTTGGAAAGCACATGCTTCACCAGGGGCTTGACAGAGACATTTCCTCCTCCACTCATGGCCGCCAATGTAGAGCTTGCGTTGGGTCCCTTGGACATCAGTTCCATGTTTCTTGAGTCGGCCGCCGTAGGATTCTGGGGGATGGACGGTTGTACACCTTCAACCGCCAACCAATGGGCTTAATGGAGTCAGCATGCCAATGTGTCATTGTAAGATATTTTTACATCGCAGCAGGGCCAAAGAATACCTGTGAAAGAGATCTCCCGAGGAACTCTGGGCAACGGCGCATTTATCAACTTCTCAAAGTCCACTTCCTCGTCCTCCACGTAGAACAGCGGCTGACCAGGCCCCAGTGATGCTTCTCCAAACCGCAAGGGCCTTGTAGACTCGTATCCGTAAAGTGGCTCCACGTCCAGTACGCGCAGGGCCTGCGCGACATCTTGTGTTGTGAGTAGCGTGCGTCGACTGTGGCGCATGAATTTGAGGGCTTCTTCCAGGACCTGCGCGATGCGGTACTCGACGTCGCGGGCAAGGTTCTCGGTGACATCATTGCTGAGGTTCACGACACCGACCGACTCGGCGACATCGCGAATATTATCGGGGTTCCAAACGGACATGGTGGGTGCGGTGTTAAAAGTCAAGGTGAAAGAACGGAGGCTGGAGATTGGAGGGTGGGTAGGAGGGTGTAACGTCGTCGGCTCGTCAACGAGGGGTCCGGTTATTTCGTGCAATGTGAGGTGAGTAGGTGATCATCAAAATAATTATCCGGGAAGAGCCAAAATCATTCTGGAAGGCCCAGAGCAACAATGTTGAAATCAGTGGCAGCAGATAAATGCGACGCGGGAATGGAGAGAGCTTCGGAGGCAGAAGGCGGAGAAAACCTGCCGCTGGGCACTCCACACGTGCATCTTCCACTTATGTTCGTGGACACTTGCAAATGGAAAACAAGAATATCATGTGTAAAAAGATATCAACTTCATCTTGGGTGAAAGCAACCCTGTTCTAGAATATGATACTAATTTTTTATATATTGAGTCAACCATAAGCGTGGCGAAATGGAAAGTGAAACTGAACCGTTTATACTACTACTTTGCTAGGTAAACAGTGCCCTATCCTACCACAAGAGGACGCAATGCAAAGTCGCGAAACGGACCTAGTCTTTCAGTTCCTGATGTAATATGAGGTCTTTAGCGGTCTTGTTACTTCCAGTATCGAAAACGAAGTACGCGAATCGTGACATCTTGATGACCGGTATTTGCTCGACTGTCTAGTCTTTGACCCCCTTCACCAATACATGGACATCTTTCGCATTTCTTGCCACTTCGTGGTCACTCCACTCCATAGTTATCTCGTCTGTCTGGTACAGTTCGATCTGAGTCTTGTTGAAAATATTTGCAAGGCAAACATACAACTCAAGGTAAGCAAGGCTTAACATACGGCGGTCAGTTACTATATTCCATGGCTGATAATATAACTTACTTGATGCCAATGCATGAGCGTGTTCCCTTGGAAAATGCAACATTCCATTTATCCAGTATTTTTCCGCTTTTTCCAATCCATCTCTCAGGATTAAATTCTTCGGGCTTGGCGAAGATGTCTGGATCTAAGTGGATCATCCTTGTCGACATTGAGACTGCTGTCTGGATACAAGTGAGGATATGAGCTTGATTGGTTGGGCTTATAATGCGGATGCCTTGGCTTACTCCTGGTGGTATTAACTGGCCATCAACTTCAATTCCACCTTTGGAAACAATACGCGGAAGTCTGGATGGAGCTTTTGAGGACAGCCTAAATGACTCTTTGATAACGGCAGTCTATCCATGGATTATTAGCGAATAACCCAGGTTATAAGCAGGAAACGCTTTTATTTATCAGATATGGTAGGTTGCGTAAATATTGGTAATCGATAATCCCATCTGCGTTCACAGGCTGGCACTCGAGCTCTTCCCTCAGCTTCTTTACAGAATTTGGGTGCGTTAGCAGGTAATAAGTAGCGCAGAATAGCGCGTAGCTTGTAGATTCCGTCCTAGCAAAGCAAAATAAGTATGCTTCATAAACAAGCCCATCCACAGACCGCGATGGAGAGTCTTTTTCTGCTTGAAGAAGCGAACTGAAAACCGTCATTCGGGTATTGCCTTCTTTTTGTTCACTTGTGGCAAGATTTATAGAAATATCTCTCATCCACTCTAAACACCGCTGTTAGATTTTCGAGTTAATAGTGAGCTAAGCTTCTCTTAGCAATGGCATTGATTGGTGCTTGCTCACCTGTCTGAACTCCATGTAGCCCGGGGCGACTATGTCCGTCAGTCTGGGAGGGAGGTGAAGGGCAATCCGGGCGAGGATAGGAAAGCTTCTGAACAGATGAAATCGATCCCCAAACATATCTAGGCTGGAAAGTAATGGCGGATAGGCTGTTCCCGACATAACCAGGTCTAAATATCTTCCATACCGTAATACCATTATGGCATAGGCCTATGGAGGATACTGTTACCTGACCTTCATATTCTTTAGCAGGTCAAGGAGTATGAAGAACTAACTGTGACACAATGGTAGAGGTGGCAAGTTTCGTTCACAAGGCCGACTTCGGATATTTCGTGGCTATCGCGGCTCCTGATGCAGAGGAAGATGAGTTGCGAACAATGTTCGACTGGGGTAACTGGGTGCGTATACCTTGGTTTCTACCAACTGTTTATGCTGATTTTGCTCAAGGTCTTTCCTTATGATGATGGTAGTGTTACCCTGACTTTACGGCACTTGCGTTTACTCGTGCTCACATCTCGATGTGAACAGCTTTCGATAATGGAGAGTTGAAAGTGGATTTGGACGGCGTGCAAAGGATGATGGATGAGCTTTTGACTGTCATGAATAACGAGACAACCTTTAGACCAACGGACCCTCTTGTTGTTGCTTTTAAGTCCATCTGAGACAGACTATCTGAAGTGAGTGCCTCTTCCATGAGTATGTAATCCTCGCTAATAATCCAGTCGAGCTGTTCTGCCGGTAATCACATCGTCAACCTATGGTTGATCTAGATGCATAACTGATCCTTAGTATGATGTCAGGAACCCTTCGACGGTTCGCTAGATCAATGCAAGACTACTCTGAAGCATGTATTCAGCAAGTTATTATGCTTTTCAAATTCCAGGGCAGCGAAACACTGTCAGTCGACGAGTTTAATGCAATGAGACGTGGGAATATTGCAACAACGCCCCTCTTTGCGCTGTTTGAGTAGGTTGCTTTCCTACTTAGTTAGGATCAAGCGTACTAACTATCAAGATACGCCTATGGGTTGAACATACCAGAAGAAGTCTTTGAGTGTTCATCAATCAAAGAGCTGGAGAGAGTTAGCACTGAAGTGACAGTCATGTAAGATCCTTGTCCGTTGTAGAAATAAGCTCCTAACTCAAAAGCCAAAATGACATCGTTTCCTATCGGAAGGAGCAGGTATGTGCATATGTATGGCCCGCCAGCGGAAGGTGCAGAGTTCCTAACCCTCCATCACCAGCTCCTTGATGAGAATAGCAATTTAATCAACATATATCTCCGGGACGGTTTCTCAGTTCAGGCTGCTTTTGACGAAGCTGCAAAGTTACTGGCTATCTGCTACCGTGACTGGTATTTGGCACTAGCCGACTTACCCAGTTGGGGCGAAGATGTCGACGCCCAGGTTCAGACGTATATTGAGGGGCTTCAGAATGTTGTTCTGGCTAATATTCACTGGAGGTAAGACCTTCTCTCAACTTCGCTATGATTTCTAATGGTGGTGTAGTTTCCTAGCAGAACGGTATTGGAAATCGAATGCGGAGATACAGAGGGATAGAACGATTGAAGTGCGACTGACATGAGGATGTCTTGGATGTGGTGAAAATGGCTTAGATTGTGTTTGATTCAGAATTCAGATTGCATGACTTACGTCCCATGGTAATTGGCAGGCTGACATGCAGTGCTCTCTATCAGTATTCTCACTGCTGATGCTGGCCTAGACTTATCCTGGGCCTTGTGATTTGATACAATAATCAAGATTGACTCTTGTTACAGACTAGCCAGTTTGCCTGTTTGTCTAGATGCGATAGGTTTTTGAAAGTGTGTGACAACATGGGAGAATATCCCAGAAGAAGTCTATCTATGCCTGAAATCACAGGCCACCGGATCGCCATACTTCGAAGACTGGCCAATCAACATCACTATGTGACTTTGATGCTTCCGCCGAATATCCTGACGTTTTATGTTATACAGAAGGAACATAATCTATTTGTTGTAGTATGAGGAGGTACAGTTTATGTTAGATCGGTTACTCTCACGCTCGTGGCCCATCCAGACTAGTTTCTTTCCTCCCTCCGGATCATCCCCTTCCCTACCCTTACAGGTCATCCTCTCCTAGCCCATCTGGATCCTCGAAAACAATGGCGGGGTCACATCTAGATGGCATGGAAGCAGAGGCGTTCGAACGACCAACAAACATCACTACAATTCCTCAAACACCAGTCCAAAGCTACATTCAGGAGACGCTAGCAGCAATCCTCGATGAACTGTCCTCCCCTGAAGGCCAACCGTCCATTACTCTAAAACAGAGAGGCAAAAAGTTCGCATCATTATTCATCAATCCAGAGACACTGGCCCTGGAGACCTCCGAGATGCAGAGATACACCACCTACAGATGGCCCGGCAGAGATGAGAACGAAGCCTGGAGATTCTGTACGATCTATGATCACCGCTCATAGCCTCCTCTAATAAGGACACAGCTGTCGCCTTACGAGTCCTCGCTGCCATTGCAGAGGCAGTTCAGGAGGGGTTGGTGGTATCCAAGAGGTAAAAAGCACATACAATCAGTATTCCCTACCACGATTCAATCACTAACTTCAGAATAGAGACATATATTACAGCGACCCCGCCTGTTTTGGCACCCAGAGAACTGTCGATACCCTCGTTGATGACTTGGCTCACACAATGGGGGTGGATCGTACTGCTTTATATGTGGTTTGTAGGACTCAACAGTACCCACTTCTAGGATACTAAGTACTCCAATCACAGGAAGCAGCAGCAAAAGGACTCGTTATGGGCTACTATCAGATAATTACTAGAAGCGGCGCAGTGGTGGATGTGCGATTATCAAACCAGGTCTGTTGCAGTCATCATTACTGCACGCAGCGTGAGATGACCTTTTCCAGGATACTCTAGTACCTAGAACGCAAGACGTTCACAAGATAGATCTCGCAGATGTTGCGTGGGTATTGGTTCTAGAAAAGGAGGTTCATGCTGCCGTCAAACCCTCTATTTTGAAGTGGAGTCAACTGACACTCTCAGGCCGTATACCGTCGACTTGCGAGCAGCAGCTATCATCTCCAATCTGCAGCAGGCAAGGGTATCCTCATCACCGTACGTCCCAATCCCCCCGTTACATTTCAAGAGACATACCAACAATTACAGGGGAAAGGATATCCCGACCTCAACACTCGGGCATTCGTCCGAAAGCTCCTCGACCACAGCCGCCAACTCACCAAACGACCGCAGTTCTACGCCTTAGTTGACGGAGACCCCGACGGAATGGCCATTATGGCCACATACCAGTACGGCTCTGTGGCTTTTGCACATGAAAATCGGAACTTGAATGTCCCAGGTCTCCACTGGCTGGGACTGAGAATAACGGATGTGGTTGCAGGCGCTGATCCGCTAGAAGATAACACGCTAATCCGTCTCACAAAGAGAGATAGGAAGAAGGTCGTCGCTATGCTGTCCAGGAATCCTATCTGGGCGGCCGATGGCCCGGAGCCGGAATGGCGAGTCGAGCTGCAGCGGATGCTCATGCTGAATGTCAAGGCAGAGACGGAGATCCTATATGACATGGAGGGAGGGTTGATCCGATGGTTGGATCGGAAGCTGAGCAGTGGGTAGGTAGGACATATCCATGACTTATGCCATTATAACGACGAAATAACAATATATACTAAAAAAAAACATCTATGCATTCCGGACCATGCATCTACCCCAGGAAAGATATATAAGAATAAAAGAATAAAAGAAAAAACGAACGTACCACAACGCCAACCCAAGCAACCAATGCATCCATCCATCCATCCAATCATCCAGCTCCCAAGCTATGCCACAATTCCTCCACACGACACAGAGAGTATAGACAGAACAGCGAGCAACCAGCCCACCAACCAGGTACTTATATACGAGCGAAACCCCTACCCTAACCATCACCACTCAACACATATTAACCCAAGGGTGGGGGTATTCACAACCCCAATCCCTTCCTAACCTCATCCCTCACCTTCCGCTCATACTCCCCCCTCCGCTCTCTCCACATCTTCGCGGCCTCCACATTCGCCGGAGATTCATCATTCGGCTCCGCCAACATACTCATGACGGAGATGAGAATCTTCTCCACGCTCTGAATAGGCGACCACCGCTCCGAAGCGTGTTCGTAATGGTTGGGGTCGTCACCGGGGGGATGGAGGATGGAGATGCACACGGTTCCGTTGGGGTAGACTATACACATTCATCCGAACAATGTTAGCATACCACCTTGACCAAGCGTCACCAGAACAGTCTAGAAGACACAACAAAAAAAAACACACAGAGAGAAAGAGGGAGAAGATCATATACCATTAGGATGCCAAACCCCACCACCCACAAACTTCATCGTCGGCGGACTAAGCGGATAATCTTTGGGAAACTTCAACTCGGCCGCGAACACGCCGCCCTCAAAGGGTGTACCTTCGGGCCCCTGGATCAGTGCTTCCCAGTGGAACATGTCATCTTCGGTGACGGGGCCGGCGGTGATGCCCTCGGGAGGGTTGGTGGAGAGGTTTTTGTATTCGTGGAAGAGACGTTTCTGGGCGACGGAGGACATTTTGATCACTGCCTTCTTTCTTCTTTTCTCCCTTTTTAAAGTGATATAATTAAGAAATTGTTTTAATCTCTCCGGTGTGGGAGGGGGGAAGCTGGTGCTGGTTGGGTTTCTGTTGCTGGTGGCGTGGCGGTCTGGCTGTGTCTAATCTGGCGATTAGATAAAGAGGGGAGAGAGAGTGCGGAGATCGGACCGGAGAGGATGAAAGGACACCGGGGGGAAAGTGGTTATGTACCTGGGGTGGCGTTGAGGAGATAAGTTAGGATTAAGAAAACTTTTTTCTAAGAGGCTGGGGTTACTACTACTGGGGAAGGTTGAGTGAGTGGCCTGGGATTGAATTGGAGGACAAATCAAGGTTTGCCACTTTTGAAAGCCAATGAATTGATGGAGTGATTGAGGTTCCATTGATTGATTGATTGTTGAGCCGGTGGGATGTGGGTGCCTGAGGCTGCAATGATGCTTATCGCCGCATTCGTCTGGATGGATGGAGTATTGATGAACTATTATTCTGTATAGGATTGTTCATTTTCGCGTGATATTATACATTTTATTGGAGATTTCACTGCCGTTATGATACATTGGGCTGGTTATTGTCAGTAAGCTGCAAAACCCTACATGCATTTCAAGCAGGGCCGAGAGTTGAATGACATCAACGTCTACTCCGGACTCGGCCCGACCATGTCGAGTATGCCATAAGTATGTCACAGCCGTTACGGTGATTCTCGATACACCGAACTTATGAGTTTTGTTGTAAGGTAATACCCTCGCACAAGTAAGGGTAATAGTGCATGTCTGACCGTATCACGGTGTCAGCCGGCATCCTGATCCAACTGCCTATTATATGGTCGATCGGCCGCTTAGAACCAATCGAAATCATCGCCTCCCTCGCCCTCGTCGCCTTCATCTGCCCAAGGGTCCTCTTCCTGACCCCATGTGTTCTCAGGCTCCTTTCCCCACGGGTCCTCAGGCTCCTCCCCCCAAACATCTCCATACGGACCCGTTTGACCTGGCGTCGGTGACTGTTGATCTACAGGGGCTGGTTGCTGATCGGGAGCAGGCTGGCTGCCTCCCAGACCACGGGACATGGCTTCGTAGCCAGCCATTGCGCCCGCGCCTGCTGCTCCAGCTGCTGCACCATCAGCCATTCCACCGGCTGCCCCAGCGCGACCAAGAGTTCCCGCAGCTGCTTCTCCTACGGCACCTGCTTCACCGGCTGCTGCGCCCCCGGCGGCAGCACCTCCAGCAGCTGCCTCACCACCGAACCCGGGGATCCAGAGGGGCATAAAACCAAATCCTCCTGAGTTGCTATGGCGACTAAAGTAGTCAAAGTCAATGCTCACAGCGGTTGCCAGCATCACGGCACGCTGGTCGAACGTCATCCCAGTAGCCGCACGGTTCTTGTCGAGGAACTCTTCGCTGGGGGAAGCAGAGTCCATTCTGAGTGCATAGACACCCGTATCCGTGAAGATTTCCCGGGCAAAGCCGGCAAAGTCGCGATTCACTGAACCGATCAGCTGTTTGTCAGAGGAACGTAGGCCAAAATCCCACGACAAGAAGGGCTCGTCCACATATGCAAATTGGTGGTATTCGCCTGTTTCCTGGCCACTTTGAGATGATTTAACCAACTGCATTTGCTGTGTGTTGGACATATCCATCTGGTTAAGTGGAAGCTTCTGTGTTTCCATCTCTGTCGCTGGATTGGGCGAGTGGTGATATGTGAAGAGGTTGTATTTGCGCCGTAGCGGGGCCCATTGTTGCTGGGCCTCTCCGATAACCCGCATTTCATCCAAGCCCAAGGATGAAACCCGAGCATTTGAGTCCCCTGTAGGGTGAACCAGAGATCCGGCAGAGGTTGTTTGTAGTGTGGTGGATGTTGAATAGGTACCCTTTGCCAGGTCGAGAGGATCATATACGCGGATTCGGGAGTTGATCCATGAGAACGGACGGTGGAACTACACAGTCAGCATCATCCAGATGCAATCGGCAGATCATCACCTACCCGAAGCACTTCATTCTCATGCCTGTCAAACACATGCGTCACAAAACTGCGATGCGTTCGGAACGATTGTCGCGCCATCATGTTCACCATGCCTTTCTCCTGCTCCGCCATATAGCCGATATGATTACCGTTGGCATCCATGATGACGTACTTGTTGGCTTGTTCAAAACCAATCATCACATTCATGAGCTCCAACTGCCGCTGCACCACCAGACCTGAGTTGGCGAGGATTCCCGTAGCCGGGTGCGTCTCTTTTATTACGCCATGAGGGTCTTCGGGGATGTGGACTGGAGCGAGGAGGGTGTTCTGTGAGGGGTCATATTGTGAGGCGGGGGTTTCGGGGTTGTCGGAGGTTGTCTCTGTATTGCTGAGTTCAGGTGCTCGCGATGCTGGGACGTCTCTTCTGATGGGCTCTGGCCTGCGTATGGAGTTTCGGGGGCCTCGGGGGTTGGATCGACCGCGAAGTGAGCTGGCGAAAGCTCGACCGGGAGCTCGAAGGCACTGCGCCGGTGGTGTTCGGAGCGCACTCCACATTCTGATTGGTTGGCACCAGTCAGTATTAATGTAAGATGTGAAATTAGGCGAAGATACGTGAGGTAGATGTCAGTAGCACCGAAAAGTACAGTTAAGTTAGCTGAAGATGGAAGAGAAAGAGTGGAAGATTCCCGCGATGACGAAGGTGCGGGAGCGGAGTTAACGGCGATAAGACGCTGATCATCCATCCGCCCTCGTTTTGCCTTCATCCACCCCGCGAACAGATTGCGAGATAACTCAGGAAATTCTCCAGTACTTTCAAGTCCGTGTTCAAAATGCTTTCCATACAGAGTATTAGGAGCTTCAAACTATCACAGATGGCCGAATGGCTCGACCGCGTGAGATCAGGGTAATAACTTGTTCTAATACCTTGTCTTCATATTAAATATATATATTGTAAAACTTGAAACTACTAGTGAGTGCTTCTGAGGCGTTTTCGCAGATAATGACAAAATAACTACGATCAGGATATCATTTCCACACCTAACAAACGGTATATAGTCAACGGAAGAAGCGTTCATATTATTCTATGCATCTATACCTGTCTTTCCAAGTTCTGCCCACATGGACTACTAACCTACGCTGCAACCGGAGCGCTGATTGCGATGCAGCTGCTTTGGAAAGTCAGTACTGATGGAATTGACATTGGAATGCATATCATTTGCTATGACCACGCCGGGAAGTAAGCACTGAGGTCCAGAACGTATGAATCAGGTATGGTCTGGTGCCTCTGATCAACAACTCAATCGCAAGGCGATGACCCAAAATTCGAGCTGCTGGCTATTCAAGCACAAAAGCAACTGCATGTGCAATATCCGAGAGCGCTTTGACACAAACAAGGCAATGATGCTGCAAGAGCCACTGAACCGCGACACAGTTCAATGCGCAGGTCTTAGAAATGACATCCTGAACAGCAGGCTCCCCCAAAAATATCCAGAACCAATCGGCGCAAACACCGACACCAATGCTTTCCCAATCAAGCTGCTAGCGACACACATATCATCTCGTCCAACCTCAATCACAAAAGACCCTTGCGCGCCAACTCAATCTTCCGCGCCGCCTCACCCGCCTTGTATCCTCCCTTTGACACACAAACGGCACTTCCTTCGCCAAGTTCAACCTTCTCTTCGACATCGGGGTGCGGACACGGGCAATGGTGCGGGAAATGGACGCATGCGAGGGTACCAGGACAGAGGTATTTATCGCAATGGGCTGTGCTAATTAGCTTTACACGACATATCCCAATAGAAGAATCCACCACTTACCTGAATCCCACTGACTCTGATACCGCGAGCTATCACTCGGAACATTCTGCGCCGCCTGCTGACGACCCTGGTGACCACCACCACCACCGCCGCCACCTCCAAACATATGCTCAAAGAACTGGAACTGCGCGTGAGCCACAGAGGCAAGTAGAAGAAGGGCTCCGAGGAGCCGAATCCAAGAGAACATAGCGATGTTAGACTCGACAAACAATCGAGCAATATGTCCAAAACAAAAAAGCGAAGCAAATTAAATTGCAGATCAAAGCAAAGCAAAGGACTAAGTATATAGTTGTAGATAGATAAGTTACCGGCCATCTGGCCGCATCCGGCACGTGACCTCACCCGCCAAGTCCCATCTCCGATCCGCGAAAAAAAGCAGGCCCCGGGAAATAGAGCGAGCCATCTCTCCCCAGATCAATCCCCGTTGAACATCACCACCTCCCAATCCACACAATGTTCCAACCACGTTTTCTAGCGCCCCTCCGGGCTCTAGAAAGGGGACTTACCAGAGCCCCCACGGCCGCCATCCGCAACAACAACAACAACACCTCCTCGCTCCTCCGCACCACCTCCTCCATCCTCTCCGCAACCAGCAACAGCAGCATATTAACACAATCCAAGCTCACCCCGCTAGCATCTCCAACATTACACCAATTCCTCCAAGTCCGACACGCCTCCCACGCCTCCCAAGGAACCGCGAACCGTCACTCCCGCGATCCGGCCGGAAAGCGTCTCGGCGCGAAACGCACAGCCGGTGAATACGTCGTCCCCGGATGCATCATCTTCCGGCAACGAGGCACGAAATGGTTCCCTGGTGAGAACTGCGCCATGGGCCGCGACCATACCATCTACGCTGCTGAGGCCGGGTATGTGCGGTACTACCTGGATCCCGAGCGTCATCCGGATCGGAAGTACATTGGAGTTGTGTTTGAGAAGGATGGGAAGTTGCCGACGCCGAAGAACGCGCCGACTAGGAGGAAGTTGAACCGTGTGGCGGTTCGGTTTGAGCCTGAGGAGGAGGTGATGGCTGCCAAGCAGGGCGATTTGGTGGCTAAGATTGGACAGGACGGGACGCAGGTTGGCAGTGCTACGAAGGTTGAGGCTGCTCAGGCTGCCGTTCAGTTGCGTCCTGGTTATATGTACCGTGAGGCCAACTGGAGTATTGGTCGTGCTGCGGAGAAGGCTGGCATTACGGCTAAGCCGTATAACCGCAAGAACCGCTGGTTGGCGTGGAGGAAGAGGACTGCTAAGGCTGATCGGTTGGCACAGATGAAGAGCTTGAAGAATAAGAAGAAGAAGAAGGGTGGAAAATAGATGATTTGATGGAGGGGATTATGTCGGTGAGGGGTTGACTGCGTGTGTGTGATATATTAGTTCTGGTTCTAGGGTTTCTTTTTGTGTTTGTCTACCTATATGTATGTATGTATTATAAGACGTTTCAATGGGCTGCAATTACTATTTCTTTTCTCTTTATTAAGAAACAAGAACTGATGCTTCGACAGAGTAGCAGACTCCAGGGTATATTGCTATCAGTATCAGTCTCGCAAACACACTGATTGATCAAAGCAGCAAACATAAAAAGAACAAGCAGATACTCCAGACCCCATACATTCATCGTAGATGATCATCGAAGATATTAGCCCCCACTAGATCCATTCATTACTGGTCAAACAACCTCCCCAAGATCAAGCTTTGACAGACAAACTCATTGCCGACAATCTTGACATTACTGTTCACCCCCAGCTCATTGCCGTCAAAAGATTCCATCAGCTTCGACCGCTTACGCTTCCTCGAACCGGCGGTCGACAATGAACTTCCCAGTGCCATGGCCTTGGCGGAGGAAGCTCGATCATCGTCATCGACATAGATCCAATTCCAGCTAGTGCTATCGGCCCTATCTGTTTGCGTTGCACTCAGGATCGCGCGAGCAGACTTGAGATCAGGCACGCGCTCGATGCGAGAAGCACCCAACGCATACGTCAAGAAGAGATACGCCTTGCGTTTCTCCTCATCTGCTCGACCACTGCGTCCCGTAACAAGAAGCACGGATTGTCCGTTGAGAAGATTGGGCCGGCCGGCGATGGTCTCAGACAGTCGAGCCTCTGTGGCAGGGTACGGGGCTAGGAAACGAGACTTGGTCGCGCCGTTGAGGTAGGTGGACTCCCCGGCTGGGAGGAGATATATTTCCCAATCGAGGATTTGTCTTCGGGCAACGCAGTCCTCGATCCAGCGGTCAGAGAGGCAAGGGAGATTGAGTGCTAGGGCTTGCATGTACTTTGACCGACGAGAATGTTTGTCGGCTATCAGACATGCAAAGCCCACGTTTGCGGCACCACTAGTCAGCCGCAGATGGCCGTCTTGGGTACTAGGTAGTGGAGCAGGAGACTTGGTAGGTGTAGCAACTGGTGCACTGGGAGGGAGTTCGAACAACTCATTGAACCCGTCCTCTAGAATCCGGCCGTCGTTCTCCAGAATCATTTTGGTAATTCGTGATTTGGCCTCATTGTTGTCTCCGTATGACACCGCAAATACCATACCGGCAAATAGACCAGTGGAAAAGCGGAAGCTGCGCGAGAGTCGAGCGCCAGGGGACATGGGCGTGGAGTGTCTATCACCCGGCGTTTGGGGTCCACTTTCGGAAACAGCAGGCCCGGAGTCGTAGCTGAATGCCCGGTCTTTCAGCTGATTCCAAAGGATAGTATCTAGGTAGATTCGGGAAATAGGAACAGTAATCCTGTTCTCTGTAACTGCTATTCCCGAGCCGGGGAGACTTTTGCGCTGCTTCGGTGTCAAGATAACGGAGGAATATCCATATACATCGGTCATAGGAATCAGCCCGTTCGCAGCTCCCTGTTCAATATCACTCAAAGTGAGCTTGTCGGCGAACCCAGAGATGATATGTGTCACCTTGGGAACATCGCGCATGTCCACCTTGACACCATCACCAATACGCAGCTCAAGCCGTTTCACCGCGCCAGTGGGAATCTCAAGCGGTGCGCTATCTTCGAATTTGACCAGATACCGCGACTGCGATGTGCCAAAGGGCTTGCCAAAGCACGTTGCAGGATAATACGCGCGCTTTGGTCCGCTCCATGGGGCAAGGACTTGGTTGACGGCGACAGGTACGTTCTCATGGCTAACTGAAGGCTGAGCTGGCTGTTGAACCCGAGGCGGTGTCTCCACAACTGGATCCTCTTCAGATGCTGTTTCTGTTGGTTGGGGTACGACTGGTTCACTGGATGGCTCCGGCGTTGAACTGACCGCCTGATCCTCGTGAATGGCAGGCAGTTCTTCTTCAATGGGAGCATGCTCTTCAACCTCAGCAGGCACCTGTTTTACCGGAAGCGAGCGACCTAGAAGCCGAGACCTCTCTTTACGAGAGACGTGATGCTGAGTAGAATCATCCATATCCCATATGCTCTCCGCTCTTCTCGAGGGTCTTGACCGTCTCCGATAGGTTGGCATTGGCTTGGTGGCCGGCTCAGCCTGCTTCTCTGGCTCCATCTCAGTGATAGGTGGCATTTCCTTCTCTGGAGAAGGCACGACATGAGTAGGCGCGCGAGGTGTAACAGGGAACACTGGGTCGGAAGCGTAAACACTCTGCCCACCGTTACCGCGGCGCTTCTTCCTTGGCTGAATAGGAGACATTGCAACCGCAGACCGGAACTCCCGGTCGTCAGCGGACAGGATATTAATGTCAAGGTTGAAAGAGCCAGCCCCAATCTGTGGTGAAGCATCGGCTGCGATTTCTGTCAGTGCCCTGCGCTGTCTGCCACTTGGGCTGGACAGAATTTTTGAGTTATGGAACGAGGAAGGTTTCAGAGGCGACGAGCTATCAGCAACCATTGGTTGAGAACGAGACCCTCGCTCGTGCGCATCCATGTACACCGGCGGCAAGTCGTCATCTTCTTGATCGGCTACATCGGTTGGGTTATGATCATTCGGCCACCTTTGGTGACCAAGGCGGCTGGGACTCGTTTCGGGAATGCTTGTCATTGGTATGATTTCTGCAAAAGCCCTAGGAGCAACAGGAGTCTCGGCGACGCGCGAGGGCATAGATGAGGACTTCTCGGGTCGATCTAACGTAGATGGTTCATTGCCTGTATCCGCGGCCCCCTGCACAGCTGGATTGCTTGACTCCACCATGTTATGCTCTTGAGCCAACGAGGGCCGTGGAGTCTGGGAGCGAGATGGACTGCCTAGCTCTGATCCAGGCCTGCTCACCAATTGAGCGCAGCCTAACTCGAGCGATCGTCGGCTGGTCTGGGACGCTGAAGGGGGAGAGGAACGTATACGAACTTGCTTTGTGGGCGATGGAGTTGTTCTGTCTACATCAGACAAAGGCCCCAAATGAGCCTGAGAGCCTGACTGGTGTATGCGCTGCGCGGTCCATTGCTCCTCTGTGTCATCATTACCAGGATCCCTCCGACCAGCGGAGCGCTGAGAGTCCTTAATGACCGAGACCTGTGAGGAGTAGCCTTCATGCAACTGCTCATCCTGTACAACGTTGCCAGAAAGCGAAAGCGACCTTTCTCGCGCGTTTACCGGTTCCCCATTGGTTGGACACGGACTTTCATGCAAGGCAAGAGCTTGCGATAGGCGGTCATGTGCGCTCGCAGCAGCAGTACTGGTTGTGGAAAGGTCGTGGCAATTCTCTTTATCCTCCTCGGCTGAACCATCGAGATCGTAAGGCCGTGGCGTGGGCTGTTCCAAGTCATCCTCTTGCTCTTGTTCCGTTTCTTCTTCGCTGAGCGCCCCATGCTGCAGCCTGGTAGACCCCTGCTCTCTCACCTCCTCGACTTCTCCAGAAGACCCTTCAGTCAGATCGGGGCCTTCCGGCACTTCAGATACGGGATTTAGGATCATGTCCGCTTGATTACCACGCCGACTGGATGGCCTCGCAGGGGCTGTGAGCTCCACAAGCTGAGCATCAGCCTCGTGGTCAAACATCTTCCGGCGCCTCATTCGCTCAACAAAACTAGGCTCCTTATCAAATTCCCCGTCGCTTTGGTCCGAGTACACATGGTTTGCAGAACGTGTCATTCTTTCATGCAATGCCTTATCCCGGTTGGCTTGAGATTCCTGCATGCTGATGTAGTTCCATCTGTGGGCGGACGTGTCCCGTGGAAAAGTTGCGGCGAGGTTATTGTAAGGTGAGGAGAGCGTTGTAATAACCGGGTGGCTCTGAATGGGAATATTCGGAGACGGTCGATCTGACATAGGGTCGGATTGTTGGCCGTTCACTAGAGGTGATGATGGAGCCTG